AGATGTGGCCTATAAATGATTTGTTTACTTAAAAAAGATTAGAGAGTTTCGAGCAGAAACCCGTCCGATTGTGTTTACAGACGAGTCTTATATTGATTCAGCACATGTGTCAGGAAAGGGATGGAGCGACGACACACTCGTGTCAGCAGGTGTAGCAGCGCCTATATCCAAAGGTGAAAGACTAATCTTTTTACACGCTGGTGGGGAAATGGGGTTTATTCCCAACTGTTTGACAATGTGGAAAGCAAGTAAAAAAACGGGGGACTATCATGATAATGTAAATAGTGACACGTATGTTAAGTGGTTGAATGAAAAGTTACTACCCAATTTACCACCAAGGTCTGTTGTCATAATTGATAACGCGTCCTACCACAACAAGCAAATTGATAAATGCCCAACTTCTAACTCTACTAAAGCGGACATGCAACAGTTGTTAAATGACAAAAACATTCAATTTACGGATATGTTGACAGTGCAGTTGATAAAGCTACACAAGCCTGCTAATATTTGATACCTTATCGACGATATGTTCAAAGCTCGTGGTTTTGACGTTCTTATAGGCTCCCTCCCTACCATCCTGAGCTAAATGCGATAGAGCTAATCTGGGCAGATGTGAAAAATTGGGTAGCATCTCACAATGTGACATTCAAATTCAATGATGTCGAACGTTTGACAAAAGCCAAGTTTGATTCAATGATTGCTGTTGATTGGGAAAAGATATGTGAAAATGTGAAGAAATTCGAAGACAATTTTTTCGGAAAGGCTCAACTACAAAATACTGTCGAATCATTCGTTATAAATCTTGGAGTGGAATCAAGTGATGACGAGGACTTTGAAATGATAAATAGAAGCGATGACAGTGAAGATGATAACAGGGACATATTATGTGAGGTGTAGAAAAGCTAACATCTGCGCATCGACCTCCAAATAAAATGTATTATATGTACGTGTTAAGTAGTACTATCTGTGACTAAAGTGTGTGTAAAAGAATACTAAACATGTTTTTATTCCACCACATACGCTTATACCCCGAAAATAATATATGTTTCGACTGATGGCTTTAAGAGTTTTTTTATTTGTATTATAACCTCTGCGAGAAACATAGCACAAGTCTCATGTTTTAAATCAAAGCTTTTGAACGATTTTCTCAACTCCCTAGGTGCCCATAAAAAAATCAAAAATGTCATGCCATTTTAGGCAGTTTTGCAGACATTAAAAAACAGCCTAAAGCCGCGTTTTGGCGTTTACACCAAAGTCTTCCACTAAGTTTTCCACTAGTTGCGGAAACTTGTAGCTTTTCACAAAACTTGTCTCTCCACTAGTGGACGACTTTTTCTGTCGTCCACTAGTGGAGAGACAAGTTTTCCACTAAATATTGGTTTCCTGCGGAGAGTCGATAAAGATCAAAGAAGGTTTACAACAAAATGTGGCAAACTAGTTGCTACGCGCTTTTTGCAAACAACTTGTGGAAAACTATTAGAGAACTATTCTATCAAAGCCTCACAAACTTCAAACACAAACAGGGAAATGGTTGATTTTGAAATTTTACACAAATAACCGAGACTAGTGTTGAAATCACCAATAGCCAAAAAATGTAGGTCAAGGCTAGCTTTTCTTGGACAGTTAGTTATGGCTTTCCTGAAGTTATTGTCACTTTCCTTGTATTTGTCCGATCATAAAAAAATTTATATTCAAATCATTAGTTGTCATTCTCATGAAGTTTTTTACGCTCACCACTCAACGGATCGACGTCATCTCGGAGATCAGCCAGCATGTCACTACTGTACCTATCCCTAGTCATCAACGAGGGTCTCACCTAATATCTTCGCAGACCTCGTATAGTGGCTGGCTATAATTACACAAGCAGCCGCGGTATGGATTGCATCTTCTTCGTTCGTTTAGTTGTAAACTTTTGGTTGTCAACTTAAGCGTAAACGTGGCTTAAGAAATTTATAAATTTACCCAAGCCTATAAAACTATATATTCAATGAAGGTAGATAAAAAGGGCTATCTAAAAAAAATCAAAATCGCTACCTTTCCGTGAGATTTCATAGGTATGCCGATACCTAGCCGTATGTGTTCAAGTACAAACAATATCAAGTAAAACTTATTTTCAAGGTTACGAGACCTGTTGTTAACTTAACGGGCGATTAAGTATATTTAGGCACTAATAATAAAAAATAAGACATAAATTTACTAAGCATTTAATAAGGAACAAGAAAATACATATTAGTAACAGGTAATATGAATAAAATAAATATTTATGACGAGAAACCCAAAACATGGCATCATGGTTTAGTACAGAACAAGTGGCTGAAGGAGTGTAGAACGTGAACATGATCAACCTTTTTTACACACAAAGGGGGGGGGGGGGAAATATACCACCTGGGGCCCATTTCATAATAAACTACAAGTTACAAGTTACAACTTGTAACTTGTAATTTCCATTAGATTTTTATTGGGCGATCAGCTGATTTACTAATAATATTAGTTTGTACTTTATTATGAAATGGCCCCCAGGGGGTGCATCAATCCTACTAATATTATAAATGAGAAAGTTTGGATGTATGGATGTATGGATGTATGGATGTATGTTTGTGACAAGTGAACGCGAAAAATACTGGTCGGATTGGGCTGAAATTTGGCATGATGATAGCTCACATTCCCGATTAACATATAGGCATATTATTATTTCAAAAATCCTTTCGGGCTCCGCCCCAGTGGCTCTGGAGTTTCCCATATTAACCTTATGAGAAATGGAATTATTGAATCTTAACAGCTGTTTCAATTAAACAAGTTGGTTCTGTTCTATGCTGTTCAATAGCATTAAAGTTACAAGGATTTACCAACAGTGTGCAGCACTATTATTTCTTTTACATTTATGACAACAGCTAATTTGCAACCAAAAGGTGAGTGAGCGTAGCGAACGAGCTCCAACCTGAAGGTGAGTGAGCGTAGCGAACAAACTTCAACCAGGACGTGATTGAGCCATGCGAACGAGATAATCTTGAAAATTAAGAAGTTAAACGGGGCAAAGCCCGCGGGTTACAGCTAGTAATTAATATTTTGACTTTGCAAGCCAAAAGGTGGGAGGATATTTGATATAGTGTTCAAACATATAATTTAAATAATCTACGGTTTATATTTTGTTTTGTCATTTTCCAGCTGCTATAAAAATATGAACTTTAGAAATTTTAACACATGTTTTTTGGATGAATATGTGATTAAGGGGATACGCCACTATCTCCAACTTTTTTTTTATTATTTTATTTTTGTCAACCTAGTTAGTATATTTTGTTTATACTAGACTTAGTTAGAAGATTTAGGTACAAAAATATTAAATTTATAACTTATTTACTAAATTTATATGCGTTTTTAGTTTTTTTCACCAACATTTTTAAGAAGTCGTTATTGAGAATAACTTTTCAACTACTGATCGGAATGACATATTCTATTTATTTCCTGATTCAGGATGAAATAATGAGTATTTCTGTGTATAATCGTTATGGTAACTAAAAAAACAAAATTTTTAGGACACCTTTTATTCAAAATATAAAAAAGCTGAAAAAAATATTTAAAATTTTTGCGTAAACATAAATATTTTTAGTAAATGTAATGCTATAGGGCTTACTATACACACAATCCTTTATTACTATATAAAGAAGGTCTGGTGAAAATTTGAATACTATAAGTATAGTACTAACGGAGTTATTCAAACTTTTGTACAATAATAACCTAAAAAACACGGTATTGAGATAATCGCAGGTGATGTAACAGGTGGTTGACAGGAGAAAAATTCCCATAACTACACTAACTTATTATTTTATATTATATATAAAAATAGCAAAGTACTTATTTTGTTTTAAATAAATGTACCCTACTTTATAACTCCATAATACATAATTATGATACACAATTAAAAGTGTACATATCAGGAACAAAAAAAATAGTTCAAAATTTTGTTAAATTGCTGGTTGCGGCGTTTTATATTTTATTTTTTTTATACTAGAAGGAGTTGTCAGATTGGCAAACAATTTTAGCTAAATGTTCACATTTAAATGACCTATCTAAAAATGCAACTTTTGGAAAATGTAAAAAAAATATAAAATATGGCCTACAGATAGTGGCGTATCCCCTTAACCGCTACAGCAGTGTATGTATTCGTATTGGAGTGGACTGTACTTGATGGCTGGAGGGGAAGTGTGGTGGGGGAGATTTTCTGTCTCTCTCGCACTGCCTCCCCTACACGCCAAGGACGGTGAAACGGTCTGTACCTCCAGTTATAATCTGGCTGAAATATTTAGGCGGTTTAAGGGGAATTTTACATATATCCCCCTCTCCACTTATTTGTCTAATAGCCTCTCCAGCTGATAACGCTTTGTTAGCAAATGTCAAAACAAATGAGTAATCATTTGTTGATGTTTTTGTTTACTATGTGGTTTGGTTTCTGTATACTTAAGTAATACAGTGTGATTTGAAATAGCAACTAAAGCTCCAGATATTTTAGTACAGACTAAAAAAATAGTGTTTAGTGTTTATCAAAACCTAAAGGATATAGTTAAGACCCATCCAAATGTTACAGTATTGGAATTATTCTCAAACACACAACAAGCTACGGCAGATGCATGCTCATTGTCACTTCGAAGTATTCAAAGAATTACCGCAGAAGGAAACAAAAATCCTATACATAATAATTGTAGGAACCAATTTCTATCATCTACAAAAAAGAAGCCTCATAAAAAGTGGATACAGGCCTTGACGGCTTTGACAGAGATGTCGTGCGACGTACTGTATTAGAGTTCTATGATCGAGGAGAATATGTGACCTGTGATAAACTGAAGAATGTTTTAAGAGATAAAATCGGGTTTAGAGGGGGGCGAGACTCTATGCGGAAGGTTTTAAAAAAATGTGGGTTCACATTTAAGAAGTGTAATGATGGTAGGCGTTTTTTAATGGAAAGAGACGACATAGTAACAGCAAGGTTAGAATTCCTCCGAAAAATGCATGACTTAAGAGAAGATCCACTACAGCGGCCTATAGTTTACCTGGATGAAACCTGGATTAACCAAAACCATTCAAAGAAATACATTTGGCAACATTCGTCAAACGAAGGTGGTTTGCGTGTCCCAATCGGTAAAGGTTCGAGATTAATCATTGTTCACGCCGGATCAGCAAAGCACGGTTTCATTGAAGGAGCTGAGCTGGTGTTTCAGTCCAAATGTACAGGTGACTACCACAAGGAAATGAACCACGAAGTTTTCACAGAATGGTTTGTAGATATGTTGAAACTCTTAGATGAGGGGTGTATTGTTGTTATGGACAATGCCAGCTATCACTCAAAACTGAAAGAAAAAATTCCCTCTTCAAAGACTAAAAAAAAGGACATTACAGAATGGCTAACCAGCAAAGGGATACCTCACAACCCGAGACACACTGTCAGAGAATTATTAAACATCGTCAGAAGTCACAGAAAGGAATATAAAAGATTCGAAATCGATGACATTGCTCTGTGGATGGGGCATGAAGTGGTGAGACTTCCCCCGTACCATTGTCAGTACAACCCTATAGAATTGATTTGGTCACAGGTGAAAGGGGAGGTGGCAGAGCAAAACAAAACTTTTAAGATTAAAGATGTGAGAAATTTACTGGAAGAGTCTATTAAACGTGTTACCGTTGAAGATTGGAAAAACTGCGTGCGACACAGTGAGAATATTCAGAAAGAGGATTTTTTAAAGGAAATAGGCATCCGTGATGACAACTTCCAGCGTATCGTAGTTGATCTCCAGAACGACACAACTGACAGCGACAGTACCGATGACATTGATATGGAGAGCACAGACGGAATCGAATTCTAACAATATTGAAAACCGTGGCAATCAAAGGGTTAATATTGATTGTAGAATAATAATGTAAATGTTGTTATAATATACCAACATCAACGACTTTAATGACTAATAATGTTATATTAGAAATTAATTATTTTGTTTGGTTACTATTTTAATTAAATTATTTTTAATACTGCTAATGAAAATATTATTCTAATTTAGCTTTGATAGCTTTTAAATTTCAGCTGTAACCTTTTGATCTTTTAATTTTATTTTTTTAATATTGCTCAAATTGAGCAGTTTACAACGCCGAAAAAATGTCACCGCGAGTCCACAGACTCGCTGTAACAAATCTGCGGGATCGCTTTCAAAGCGATCTTTTGAAAACGTAACACTGATTCGCTCACTTATAAATACGTAAGTCCACGGGCTCTTTTTTTCCAATCCATGAGCAGAAATGAACCTTTGAGATCGTTATTGGTTGTATAGTGGTGTTTATAGGTGATTATAGCTCGATTGAAAATAGAAAAGTGGATATATATCCACTTTTCTGTCGAGCAGGTAAAAAGAATAAATAACAACTTTTTTTAATGGTGATGGATCTCTATAAGTCTTTAGTTACTCAGTGATCTAGTCACTGGGAGAAAAATGCTCCGTCAGAAACCTAGTACGTCACGGACTCCTTTTGCGTACTGGACGTTTGTGATAGGCGTCATTGCGTCCATTTATTTGTTTGTTAAATTCAAGTTCAGGTTATTTATCTGTATATTTAACCTATATTTTGTTATAAAAAGAGCTATATTTTTTAAGTGTTACAGTAATTTAGTTAGTTTTTTTTATGTTTTTTTAACTGTGTATGATATACTAAACAAACTTTTAAATCAAGACGAATTTGATAACATTTTTCGCGTCACATATAATAGCTACAAACACAGATTTCAGTGCCTAAATTTAGAAATTTTAGTATGGAATACCCCCTAGGCCCCCAGGATATAATTTGAAAATCAGCCTTTTCCAATCAAAAAACGTCTAATTCCAACCATGTATAAGGCCTGTATGAATTAGGTAAAAATGAAAAATAGAAGTGGTTTGTTTACGTCTTATACATAACAGCAAACAGCTGTCTTGGTCAGTTCCAGTGGAGGGGATAAGAGTTCTTCCCCTTAAACCGCCTAAATATTTCAGCCAGATTATAGAATTATAGCTCAGTGGTGCATGCGCAATTGCGCATCCCCTACCTCTCCAATCAGCCAAAGTGTGACGTAGTGAGCGAGGCGGTACAGCTGATGCTACAGCTGTGCGGTATATGTTTACGCAGGAAGGAATCGCTAGTCCACCGACGATTCGCTATAAACCTACTTGTTTATGAGCTACATGGTGTAAAATGTACACCGGAAGTCGTTTTTCATAGGCTGTAACTCCTAAACGAGTGGGTTTATCGAAAAAATGTCAAGCATTAATTGCATTTTCTATCCGAAAACATGATAAAATATAGGGTGTTCAATAAGAAATTTTCAAGTTGGCCACCATTTTGGAAAATGGCGGCTGAATTTTGAAAAAAAATAAAATCATATTTTTAACTGCCACAAAAAATAACTATGATAGTGGTTTAAATACCTTATTCATGCAATCCAATTGTTGTCTCCACAACTAGTTTCAACTTGCTAGGAGGTCATCATCAGGTGAGTACAAGGATGAATTACTTCATATGATGATGAGTTACTCACCTGATGATGACCTCCTAGCAGGTTGAAACTAGTTGTGGAGACAACAATTGGATTGCATGAATAAGGTATTTAAACCACTATCATAGTTATTATTCGCAATCCGGAGGCTACCCCACACCATAATGAAACAAAAAATAAAGGAATGTCCCCCTTTTAAAGTTTTCTCTAACTCTTACCGTTTCCGATATTCCAATGGTGGCCTCCTTGAGTTGATCACGCCACGACCGGTATGGATCATAAACATAAACAAATGACGTTGTTGGCCCGAATCCTATACTAATAGTATTGAACATATGTTTTCTCAGTTCCATTTAAGCAATTTTAAATAATGTTTATTTTCGGGCCAAAAACGTCAATTGTTTATGTTTATGATCCGTACCTAGACTTCTCATCCCATTGTAAATTTTGAAGCACGTTTTTCGTGTCTAGTTCATGTACGTGACACAAAGGCGCTAGTGTCGACGAAACTTTGTTTCTATTATTTTAGGGTTAATTTCTTGATTTGTGCTTTACTGTTTGGTTATATAACTAGGGGACAAGTTATTGTTTATGATTAGACCGTATTATTTGGTTAAACGAGGTTTTAAATGGCTGTAATAACGGGAAACAAATTGTAAACAAAACACGACCTCTACAGAAAACCGTACAGAACTAACAATAAAATTGGCTTCAGCTGTTCCATAAGGATGGGAAATCTACCAAGGGAGTATGATGTTTTATCTTCCGTACCAATGGTGGAAGGAAAACCTTCCACCATGATCCGTACCGGTATTTTTCTAGTATTCGTGGATCACTATGTATTTGTATCTAGCATTTTAAAAAAGCCCGGGAAAAATGTATAGAACAGTCGTGTTTTAAGGTGAAATAGTGTGGCTACATGGTGATTTAACGAAGCCAGTTTTTAAGCATACTAGAAAGAAGAACACTTGAGTGACTCTACTGTTCTGTTCTGGTTCTCCACTCCAAACAAACTCCAACCTCCAACTAACAACTAGTCGAGTCCGAGTCCGCGAGTCTCGACTCGAGTCTGAGTGTGAGTGACACGGTGCGGTGACAGGACAGTTAGTAGGCCTGGCCTAGTAATACTAATACTAACTCATACCAAGCTAATACTAAACTAATATTAGGAAGAGAAAAAGTAAGTAACTTAGTTAAAACTTAAAGATAAGTCAAGCATGGAAGGACCAAATACTAGAGTAGTTCTACCAATACCATTATTGATATTTATTTACAAAATATTGGTGATGGTGATTGGAGATTGGATGGATGGATACTCACTTATACTAGCCTATGCTTTGATTATTTAATCAATTATTATTGAAATATTATAGCATATTGAGATTGGTGGCCCTTTTTTGACAGTTACCTACCTAGGTTAGCCTAGTTGGGCTAAGTTAGGCCTAGGCCTATATCAAGTTTGAGTGAGAGTGAGAGTAAGACCCATGCATGCATAGGCTAGGCCTAGTTACGAAAAGGTGGACGGTAGCCTAACTAGGGTGGAATCCCCAAAATATCTAGACTACAGCTTATTAGGACATTAAATAGGGTACTACTTCTTTGTGGCTGCACTTTACTTTAGGTCCTACACACTCATTTGAATGAAAATATTGATTAGTGGATTGTTTCATTCGATATATCGTTTGGTTAGTTAACCTTACCTAACTAACCAAACGATATATCGAATGAAACAATCGATTAATCAATAGGCTATATCAATCGATATTTTCAGTCGAATGAGTGTAGGACCTAAAGTAGAGTGCAGCCTTCTTTGTTCCTTCCGCCCCGTTTGGATTTTGATAATTTATGCTGATAAGGTGAATTAAATGTCCTTGATAGGTAGCCCAGCCTTTGCCGTCCACAAAGGTAGATTTGTTTGCAGAGACATGTTTGCTGACCAAAACCAAAATCCCATTTAAGTTACTGGGTCGAAAAACCCTGGTTTACACTACCTAGGTACTTATCCTGTTTGAATTTTCTCGTTTTATCCTGAGTAACGAATTTGACACATAATCCGATTACTAAGTGATCAATTTTGACGTTTCATATGATAACGTTATATAAATCATTGCTTGGTAATACTGAACATATGCTAACTTACTTACATATGTTAACTTGAATTTTTTTGCCTTATCTAGGCCTAACTAAATTAGACTATTTTAACCCTCCGAGTGTCACGCGTCATAAAAATGACGCACAACACACTTTGTGTAGGGTCACGCGTCACTTTTATGACGCACAAACATCGTTTACGGCGAAGGCTCTATGACTGACTGAATCGGATTGAACTGGATCGAGTTAGGTATCGTTCTTTCCGTAATATTCTAAGCTTTCTCCAGAGGTCTGTCTCCAAGCGCTATTCATTTTAGTTCCGAAAATATTGTAGCAGACAGCTGACGTGCGTGTATTTGTAAACAGCTAGGTTCCCCCGGACCGATGACTGATGTGTTTTATTACGTTTATCATTGTTTTAGTGTTAAAAATCAAAAGTAGTGATATACGTGGTGCATTATAAGAAGATTTAAGTGGTTTTGAAGTGCTGGTTGATGATCCTGAAGAAGTAGGTAGTGATATTGATGTAAATTATCAGCCAGATTCCTAGCTATGGTTAGGCTATGCATTCTTAGCTAAACGCTATGTACTGAAATCCGTTTTTCGCTCATAACTTATTTATTTGATAACTTACCTCGCTATATGATTATATATTTGTAATCCTCATTAAATTTAGAACAAAGTGGCTATTTTCAAATATTTATAGGCCTATAATTTATACAATTTCATTGAGCGCGAACTTATTTTTTTTTTGAAAATTTTCGAAATTATATTTTTTTTTTACCTAAAAATTTTTTTTTTGAAAAAATGTTTCTTATGTTTTATATATAATATTGAAGCCCATGATTTTCCAAACAAAATGGTATATAGAACATTAGAATTAACATTGTTTTAAGCTTCTCAGATCCGTTTTAATAAAACCTTGCAAAGGGGCCAAAAATAGGTGGACATTAAGGCCTAAACTATGGACACTCGGAGGGTTAAGCACTTTTTACCATTGGCACTTTCGGGGGAAACGCCTATTTCACCCTGAAAATCGCGTTTGAAAATCAAGAAAAATGCTAGAAATCGGCAATTTGAGACGCATGAAAAACTTTTTGGGGTACCTAATTATTCCGTATAGGTGCCTATAAACAAATTTTTAATTTTGATATCTTACTTTAGGCATAGACAAAAAGAATTAAATATAGACCGTCAGCTGTGCTGCGGTTACCATAGGTTCTGGCGCACACCGCTTGGAGCACCACGGTAGTTACGGCGTACGCGCTATGTAAACTACAGCGGTGTGCGCCGGAACCTATGGTAACCATGGCAACCGCAGCACGGCTGACAGTCTATATTTCATTCTTTTTGTCTATGCTTTAGGCTATAGATTTTTACCTCCTGAATCCAAATAATACCATTATTTTTCACAGCTGATGAATATTTCTCAAGATATCGCCGTAATAATATACAACATTACAATAAACAAGGTAGGGTGGATGACATTTACAAGTGGAATGAACTATGGGTTAAGTAAACCAACAGCTGATTGTTTACAATCATAGTCACGCAAATGGAAGTGACAACTTTAATTACTTAGCTAAGTAACTCTGATTCTGCAATATGAAAATTACCTGATTAAGTTACACTTTTCATTTTCTAAGACCAATAAGTTAATAATGTATTATTGTTACCAGTATTTTATCCTTATTAATGATTTAGTGATTTATATTTCGCCGTTTAGAAATTACCTAATAAAATGGTGCCATTCTAACATTTAACCTAACCTAACCAAACCTCTAGAATGTGTAAGCAAACTCCTTTTGATGTCAGAAAAGGCATGTCAGGGTGATAGGTCGTGCTGTATGTGAATTGGTGACTGCATTAAGTCATTTAAAGGTAGGTTAGATTAGGTAAGTTAAATCAAAAATCAAAAATGCAAATTTTTGAAATAGTAATTTGAAGTGTTTTTTGTGGATTTTAATTTTACAAAAACAGTCTGCAGGCGACATAAACTAACAACTCGATACATTATAACCTAAACTTTACCTTCCTAATCTAACCTAACTTCAAAACACTTAATGCAGTCACCAATTCACATAGCCTACAGCACGACCTACCACCCTGACATGCCTAAATAACAACTACATTATTAGTCCACCAGTTCATCCATATCTCCATAATGTGACGAAATTCCTATTAATAGAGAACATTAAGTTCAAGACTACAGAATCACTTGAAATGTTATCCATCCCATCTTGTTTATTGTAATGTTAAGTATGTTTTTACGGCGATATCTTGAGAAATATTCATCAGCGGTGAAAAATAATGGTATATTTGGATTCAGGAGGTAAAAAACTATAAAGTAAGATATAAAAATTAAAAATTCGTTTGGAGGCACCTATACGGAATAAATACCCTTTTTGGGTAGCCTACAGTTTCTTAACTGGATAAAAGGTAACTTCTATTGAATCGGATAAATAAGCTATTGATAACTATCCCTATTCAACCGATAAAATATTGATAGTTAACTTATCGCTATTCAGCTGATAAAATATTGTTCCAAGGTTCTCTGCAGAATTGTACCCTAGCCCCAAGTTAATATATTGATAACTTAGTTAGGCCTGACTAAGTTATGTTGGATCAGACCAGTAACTTACAGTATTTAATAAGTCTTTATAAATTGTGTTAGGCCTATGATACGAGATAAATGCAGACGATGCATCTGCATACAAAACAATGACAGTATCATTAACAATTTATACACGGTCATTTATACCGTGTATAAATAAATAAATAATACAATTACGTAAGTTACAATGTGTATTATGGCCTAAGTTTGTACCAACTAACTTACTTGTGCCAACAACAAATCCATCTTTATACAGAAAAGGATCTGTATTAACTCACAGTGTTAATTTTGTAGGGCCTACCTCTTGAAAGTTTAAAGTTGTACGTACGGTAACTAAGTTTTATAAAATGTATTTAACTTACCACGTATCATGATTACAGTGTTTAATTTGGACTTTTATCTTTAAGGTTTGGAAATAAAATGCCTGCTATAGTAATTGACAAGCCTCCTCAAAGGAGTGAAGCTATGTGGCAAGCCTTAAAAGCGCATATTATCAAGCAAAGACAGAAAAAAAAACAGGGTAAGTGTTTAGATATATGCCCTATCTATTAAACAACTTAATGACCTTCTGGCAAAGATGGAAAAAGTCTTGTGATGATGTACTGAACCGCATTATACATTTGAAGTTCTTTCATAATTAGTTAATTTTCAAGTTAATTGGACTTACACTTTTAACAAAAGAATGATTGTAAAGTAGTCCTGGAGGTCTTCATGACTTGTTCGCTTGCTCGTCATTGAAAAATGCAAAGTATTTTATTAGCAAAAAAAAAAAAAAAAAAAATTTCAAACTGGCTCTTAACTTTCCTGAATTTTTATCCTGGATAAATTTTAAAACCATTGATTTCTACTTGAATCAACAATAAACTAAGAATAGCATTGCAGTCCTAGTTCACAATTAATTGCCCCAGTTAACAATTACCCACATCCATCCACCATAGTACGGTATTAGAAATCATTTGTTTTTTAAGCTCTACAAAACTGTACCGTAACAAAAGATAAACTGCAACTTTTTATATTTTTAAGGTTCAAAATTTTAAACAAACAAATTTCAATTTGATAATGTCTATACAGTTTTAAACATTGGCCTAATGTTTTTATTGTTATAATCTAAGGCTTACCTTACGATCCAATTGATTTATTGTGAAGACCTAGGTTTCTATGCCGGAGCGTTATCGTCAGTCCTAGGCTAACCTAGGTCTCCACAATAAATCAATTGGACTGTAAGGTAAGCCTTAGATTAACTTATAACAATAATTAATAACGATCCAGAGACTATTTCTCCTAATGTTTTTAGCATTAGCCTTATGAGTTGCAATGATAGTTACAACATAACAACGTCGATGTAAACAAAGGATCATGGCATATATGTTTGTTAGGCTGTTAGCAAACTAATATACGATCTAAATACTGCTCAAAGGAAAAACCACTCAGGTGACAACCTTTGATCAAAAAATACAGAGAAAGTATTACAGGACATTTGAAAACTACTATTGTATTTAAGAGGTACACTATCTTACTGATTTTATCTGCAATCCTAAAATGCTATGGGAAGGAAGGGAAACAGGTCCATGACATAAGAAGTGGTGAAGGAAGTGGTGAGTGCGGTGCGGAGTGTGGGAACCGTCTGTGGCAGTTAGATTAATGTAGGCTACATATAAAATACTAAAATGCTATGGGAAGGAAAGAAAACAGGTCCATAACGTAGGAAGTGGTGAAGGAAGTTGTAAAGGCTAGCAGTACGGAGTGTGGGAACCGTTTGTGGCAATTATAATATTGTATCTGCAATCCTAAAATGCTATGGGAAGGGAGGGCCCCAGATCCACGAAAAACATACATTTTACACAACAAACTACAACATTTTATTTATTCTTCATAAGAATTTAATGGGAATTTTAAACTTACAATCTTAAAACTATTTCCGTAACTGTTAGGGATAAAGCAATGCTTCAATGTACAAAAATATTTCTTTTTTTAATATCTTCTAGCAATTGGTTTGGAGAGAAATTGAGAAATTTTGTGTTTTTAGGGTTGAAAATGGGAAAAATTTACCTTTATAAAACAATTTTTACCTTATACACCCCCCGCCCCCCATAAACCCCCGTTCCCTTAGTCCAATCATGCTGGTTTGCGGACTCATACGAATAAATGTATGTTTACACGTGTGTACCAAATTTAATTTAAATCGGACCATTTTTGCTCGAGTTATTAAATTAATATGAACGGAGGGTGTTTTTGGCCTCTGTGGACCTCAAAAAAAAATATATCGGTCCTGGGTCTAGGTCTTACAATATAAATATAATAAAACTGACACAAAAACGGTGATTGAGGCGTGGTAGGGTGAGTGGGGGGGGATAATAAAACTTTGACACAAAAACGGTGATTGAGGCGTGGTAGGGTGAGTGGGGGGTGCGCTGTGGCCCGCGACTGTGGCAGCGCGTAATGAGCAGCATATGAGAACATGGCCCGCTGGTGGTGTGACAGGCGGGTGGGCTTGCGACTAGTAGCGAGGGTGTGCGACTGGAATGGCCAGTCGCGGGGACTGTCGCATGCCTCGCCACCGCAGTCGCGTCGCGTAGTAAGCTCCATATGATAACATGGCCCGCTAAAAGTGGCCTTTGAGCAGTCGCGGTTGCGCGCCACCTGAGTGGCCACGCATAATAAGGCTCTAAGGATTAAATTTAAATTAGCGGTTGTCTTACTAATTGAGCACTTTGTCAAATCAATGTTCATTTTGATAGGCTAATAGAAACATAGGGGTTACCATTGAATTTAACCCTTCAACGTGTGACTTTCTAGATGGCAGACCACCCCCTCCCGCGGCACTTTTCCAAAGCTTTTACTGGGACCGTTACATGATTACATAAAACCTACAATAATTAACTTATTTATTAATGGATTTTTATAATTCTTCCACCAAATTGAAGAACAGATTATAGGCTTTAAAAATATATAATTGAAATAAAAGTTTGAATGTGATACATTATTTATATACCTCTTAGAAGTTTTTTGTTAGTGGGACCGTCATATGTTTACATAAAACCGTCAATAATTAACTTATTTATACATGTATGTTTATAATTCTTTCACCAAAATAAAGAGCAGATTATAGGCTTTAAAAATATATGATTGAAATAAAAGTTTGTATGTGATACAATACTTACATACCTCTTAGAAGTTAACTTTTGTATGGTAGTCTTCGAAGCATGCTCCAAGACACAGTCCTGCTTCACACTTGGGACACCAATATCTGCTGTCTCTTCTTACTCCCCGTTTTGCACATACACAGCACCTCTTTTGTGCATTTACTTTACTTCCTGTAGGTGGTATCAGGTAAATGAAGTGCCTTTCTCTAAGTCTAGCAGGTCTCGGCTCAATTGAAGGTCTTCCGAAAACAGGTGTTGGTACTTCAGGGCCATGGGTCTCAAAAAGCATCTTTATAAGATCTAATCGAAAGGCTAGGTGGTCAATATTCTGGGTATTAGATTTCCAGATTATAAAGGAATTCGATACAGAAATATTCAGAAGGCGTTTAAAGATTTTTACGTACCATTTCAGGCCCCTTTTTCTTTCTAGCTGATATGCGTGCAGCATTTGGTTCCTCATATCAACCCCTCCCATTTGCTTGTTATATTCATACACCAATGCTTTCTTAATTTCTTGCCTCCCATTCTTGCTAAGTCTTTGCTCCATTTCATGGGAGTGGAAGGTAGAAATGAGAGTGACGATTCTTTTGTCGCGCCACTTCATCACCATCACATCTCCACTGTGTTTTACTACAATTTCTCCTTTTTCTAATTTTTGACTTTTGATTTCATCTGGAACATTTTTCCTTGATAATTTTAGGGTGCCACATGTGTCTGTCTTTTTTTCTTTTAATAATTTTGAAAGCTCAGGGGAATTATACCAATTATCCATCCACAAAGTAAATCCTTTATCAAGAAGTGGCTCCATAAGGGAGAGAACAATCGCAGTGGACTTGTTTGATTTAGGTGGGATGATAGGATTATCAAAGACCATGCCTTTTCCGGTATATACAATGAAGGACCACGTAAAGCCTGAGGAGGATTCACATATCTCAAACGATTTTATCCCGAATTTGGCTGCTTTTAGGGGCAAATATTGCTTGAAGCCCAAACGGCCCTTCCACAATGTCAGAGACTCGTCGATGGATATGTTTTGAGACAGTCTATAAGAGGATTGAAACTTAGCGTTCAGATGTTCAATTACAGAAAAAATTTTGAACAAACCCTTTTGGCCCTGATAATCACTGATCTTTGTATCATCACAGAAGTGCAAGTTCTTAGAAATGGCCTCAACACGTTCACATGGCATTGTACTTGGAAAGATGTCTGAGCGCAAACAGGGGTTTTTGGAATAGTAAGATCTAATAGTAGGCCTCTGGTCCACACCCATCAGCATGATTAGAGCTAAATACAAATACATTTCGTCTTTGGTGACAGGGCTCCATTTCCAGTTCCTTGAAAACTGTGGGAAAATCATGCCAAGCTTTCTGTGCTGTTGCTCCGCATAGAGATTGGTATTTTTTACTATTATGTCCAAAAGCTTGTCATAAAAAAAAAAAAAAAAAAATGGAACAGATCTAGGGGATTTTCACCAGGAATTTGAGGACCAACACCACCAAACCCAACAAAATTTTCTCTGTGAGGAATGTAGTCCTCAATTGTCTCCCAAACCATAGAAGGCACATCAGTTGTAGGCCTACAGTTATATCTAAGGGGTACATCTCCCGCACCTAATACAACTTCATCGATTGTCACATCAACAGAATTTTGTTGAGGAATGTGCATTTCAACAGGAATAGTGTGGGTTTCAATTTCCATAGGAGAAATAGGCCTAGGCTCACCATTGTCTTGGCGGAGGTTATGTCTAGGAATAAGGAGAGGAATCTCATCGTCACTCTCTAAATCATTATTTTCTAGGCCTAACGTTTGAAATTGGGCATAGTCTACATCAAATGAATCGTTATCACTTACATCTGATGCATTATCCGTATCCAAAAGCCAGTGATCGATCTCACTACTTCTTGCCATTGTAAAACAAACACTAAAACTCAGCTCCAAAACACAACACTTTTGGTACTTTTACATCCCTATTTTACAACAACACTTCATACATACATACAGTCAGCGGTTGAAACTAATAAAAAAACTTATACTAATACTCAAATACGATTTTAGAAAATGTTTTACCAGTAAATAATATATTACACACATAAAACGTACGAACAACACACGCATGTAAGCAAAACAAACAAGGCAGAAGTCTGGACAATCACCTGCTAAAAACAGCTGATGAATTTCGTCATCCAGAGACAACAGAAAAAACGTAAAAAGGATTTATTTTAGTGGTTTGTGTAGCTCATTTCATCTACAATGTACTGCAGTATTGTACAAGTCCACGTAGTTGAGTATTTACTCACTAGATGCCAGCATCTACTGGAACGTCACTGAGCGTATGCAATACGTCAAAACACGGCGGCGAGGTTAGGAATGGCGACGTATCACGTACGGCAATACACATTGAAGGGCTAAACTGTACCTACAATAAACTTCTCATCCTGCTGGAAACCTGTTGATGAATGTATATGTTTTGGCATCATTTTAGTGTGTTGACTAAAATGTTTCACTCTAATTTTATGCCATACTTTAAGATTTTTGCTCTAAAATTAAAATATAGGCCTACTAGAAGACATGCAATAGTTTTGCTGATCCAAAAGGATTGCATGTCTATATATTTTATTCTATAGTGTAAAAGGAGTAGGTATGTCTAAAAATATTGCATGGAATGTTTCATACATTTTTGCCTCATAATTTATGAACCATAATGATAAAAATATAAAAAATTAAAAAAATATATACATATTATTACAAACAAATAAATTGATTATGGTGTAATAAGAACAAGCAAGTAATGTACGTGTACCGTGTCCTTTGTCATGAACATCATCACTGCCAATACCTCAACAACACCTATTTACTTTAAAACGGTTGTCGTTTTAGTACTTCGGAATAATCTTTGTACCTGTGCATGCCTATGTATTGGTAGCATAGCCTAGGTAGCCTACTGCAGTTAAAATCATGTACAAATTTGCCAACAATGGAAATTACCTTGCAGATTTCCTTATTTGCAATTTAAAAAATGCATTGGACTGGCTTTGTATAACAAGCTGTTATCTTTTCTTTATAATTAACTGTTTCCATTAAATTAAATGGAGAAAATGTTTACATTAATAATCCTCACTAGAACTTGCCTGTGCGATTTCGGTACATCTCAGTCAAGGGTGCACGTGATAAGGCTATGGTTGAACTGGAAAAATCAAACTTTTATATAGCGTTGTCGACAGTAAAATCAAGAACTAACTGAGCCATTTTATAGGGAGAGTTACAAGAATAAAAAAACAGTAAAATGGACGTTAAGTGCTCTACTCGTATGATGAAGCATTGTATTGATCAATAAACGTTTTTATGTTAGTCTATTTTTAAATTAAAATTTTATTTTTGAAAAAATATTTTTGTTAACCATTTTGTTCACTCCCCCCAATTGGCGGACCTGAGACAAACCTAGTTATTTATACCCCTATACTTTATACCCATGTTATTATTTAAAACCCTATTCTCTTAGCTTGATCATGGTGGTTTGTGAATTTGTTTGAATTCATCCAGGGGAAGCCAGTTTTATAAGATAATGGTGTAAGCCTAATAAAAGAAAAGAATCAGACAGATGAGAAAAACTGTAATGCAGGCCTAGGCCCTTACCCTAATAAAAATATACAGGGTGTCCAGCTTTAACTAAGACAAACTCTGGACAATGGTTCTATGGGTAAACATTAAGAGAAAATCAACAATGAAATTTTTTTCAAAATCGCTTTGTTAAGCAGATATCTGGTTTTTTGTATTTTTTACATACTTAGGCTTATGGACACTTGATGCTGTAATTATCATTAGAATTGTGTAACAGAACAAGAGGCTGATGCTGAAGTGGAACGACAACGTAAAGAGAGAGAAAGGCAGCAGAAACAGGATAAGATGACACTGGGAGAAACAAGGGAACAAATCTCTCAGCTTGAACAGCGACTCCAACAGCTTAAAGATGAAAAACACCAGTTGTTTTTGCAGCTAAAAAAAGTATTAAATGAAGATGATAACCGACGTAGACAACTTGTTAAAGAGTCGTCCAAGTAAGTGTTAACCCGTTATTAATTCAGACCTCATTCTATGAATTTTAAATGTGGACATTACCTTATGCTTATATACGATTGACAGATTAAATTGTCAGTATGCATTTCTTTTCTGTTTCTTAAAGTTGACAAGACAAGTAGGCCTACAGTCAACACAACAAGTGCAGTAACTTAAGATAAGAGGGAGTATACTGTAACTAAAATAACGTATAATTTGAAAACTTATTATATTCATGTTGAGTAGTTTTAGGTAAAATATTATTTAAACATTTAAAAATATTTGAGCAAAGAAAAACAGTGACAAAATCGAGACTCCCTCTCATCTGGACACCTTTTAACCAGACATCGGTTTAACCAGACTACACTCGGCGGAAATGACATCTCTTTAACCGGACAATTTTTATCAGAACATCGGTTGAACCGGACTAGATCGGCAGGAAGTGGGCGGTACTGAAACGACTGTTCTCGTGGGAAAGATTTGAGAACAGTGATCACTTGTCTAAATACAATGCTCTCCTAAATTTGAGTCAACTACTGTGTACAGTAGGCCTATGTATTTAAACGGTCGGTTTTTTTAACGAGTCTTTGGGGATGTCGGTTTAACCGGACAACCCGTTATTTGGACTGACCTCGTCCTTAAGAGTCCGGATAAGAGAGAGTCTACAGTACATTGTTTTCCTTATTTGAAATGCTCACTGTATTTTTTAATTAACATGCGTTAGGTTAAGGGTCTTGTTAGAGTAAAAAGGTAATAAAGATTTTTCCATGTACCATACACTTAAGGGTAGAAGGTAAAAACATTTAATTTTTAACTGTGTTAACTCTATGTTTAAAAGCATGACTAAAAGTTTGGACAAAATTAATTTTACAAACAGAATTCCCAAAACTGTGATTTGGGACTAAATATTTACAAACTCTCTTATTAGCAGGTTTACAAAATTAGTTTGGAAAGAAAAATTTTTGTTTGGCACACAGCAGTAGCTTGGTTGAACCAAAACTTGGTTAGTCAGGGCTTGAATAGCCGTGGCTGTAGTGTAACAAAATTACTTTTATCTAGTACACAAGTAAATATTATAACCCTTAATGTTTCAGTAGTGACATGATAGAAATGTATGGGTATCCTGGTGTTACCTTGGGAAATCCTCAGTTGTTTCTTCAACAAAACATGCAGCTTGCCAATCGTAACCCGCTGTACAAAGTGCCACCTTCACACACACTACTGCCAGCTGTGAGTACAAGATGTCATAATATTATACTAACTGCCAATGGTGTTACAGTGGTTTTTTTAGAGTGTAGATTAATTTTGAATTTTGACATTATTTTTTCTTTGCATTTCCTCTCCAAACTCTCGTGTTTGGGAGCTACAGGATGCTTAATGTTCACAGAAAACCCACTTTTTCCCAGGTGTAATGCTCTTCTCTTAAACAAGTAGTTTTAAAGTAATATTTCAGGAATAAAATCTTTTTAGATCACATTTATATTAGAAGTTAAAAAAATCATAATATACAAGGTCTTCTATTTTTAAGTTTTGTTTAAGGAAAGGCTCTAGGCCAGGATTTTAAATTTTAGAAAAAGGAGGATAGCAGCTAGCTTACTTTGAAAGTGTGGGTAGGCCATAGAACAAGTAGAAAAACACTGTGTACACAGTGTGTTAGGGGACGAAATATTGTGTACACAGTGTTTTTCTACTTGTTCTATGGCCTACCCACACTTTCAAGGTAAGCTAGCTGCTATCCTCCTTTTTCTTCTATTTTTAAGTTAGTCAACATACTGGAAAATGGCGGCCATTAAAAAAATTTTGAATACATTTTTTTACTATCATAAAAACATTAAAAACAATGGTTGAATTTCTCCATTTATTGTTTTTCTAAATATATACAGGGTGTCCGGCGTCCTGGAAAAGTAGCAATTATACAGGAATTCTGTAATTATGGCAGTAATGTGCAGGAATTTTTTTTTGATTGATTTTTTTACTGTAAATATTCAACAATTATATAGAGTTTACAGAACATGTGTAAAATGTCTCTCCATACAGACAAATTTATTAGCGTAAAAAGCTAAATCAGTAAATGTTACGAAGATGACAGGCTACGAACAACATTTTCTCGATGCCGTCCAGCCCAAGGCCAGGATTTGGGCTGCTAGACAGAGCTCGGTTTATGAATGACAATGCAACTTGCGAATGAATACAACAACTCTAAACTCTGTCTAGTGGCATGGGACTGGGACCGGCATCTGGCATCCGTGGACTAATGTCTCAGCTGTCTGCTACGCTCGTCTAGATCGTCAACTCAGACAAGCACTTGTGTTTTTCAGTTCTTATTGTTTACGGATGTCCAATACTTCTGGGATTTAAGAGGGAGTTTTAAAAATATTAGATGTTAATAACCAACACGATAATGTATGATTTGTATTTTGTCGAGGTATCTTAACCTATTTTTATATAATTTATTTTATATAACGATTTAGACATACTCTTTAGGCCCAAATAATTTCACAGTTTCATCCGTTGACAATAGATGTTGTGTCTATTCTTAATTAATCAATTTTGTAGGCTATGTCTAGTGTATGAATGTAATCTAATAATTGTTCATTAATAATCTGTTTAATTTTGAAAATGTCCATGAATGAAAAGGAATTTTTAAAGTTAAATTTTACCTTCAACGTGTAAAATCCACAAAGTAGGCCTAGGTATAGTTTTGGTATTTTTAGTTATAAATAAAACTGTTGGATATAGCACATTCTTTCATTTTTCTAACAAAAAGAGATAAACATGGACACATATTTTACATATGCTACTTTAATGGCAACTGTGTAATTGTTTATCCAGGGTACTTTGAAGAGGAGGAGGAGTCCATCCCCAGCCAACTACCCTCAGTATGGCACATACAAGCCAGCCACTAGCCAAGCAACTTACCAGAGTAAGGCACTCCATCTTTTAATAAAAGGCTTTTAAGTGTGACTTTTAATAAAATAAAATGCAAAGTGTAACAGACTTCTTGTTCTTATACCAATATAGAGTATTGTAGAACAGTAAAGTTTTTCAGTTCTTGCAGTACTCATCTTACCCATGAAACCTACCAAGTTGCAATAGCACTATCTAATTATTGACTCTAATTATTAGCACTGTATGGTTTAAGCAGACATTTTGATTGCTAGAGTGCAGATTATAAAAACTACTGCAAACCAGTTTGCAACAAAGAAAACAAGTAACAAGAATTAAAAATAAGTTTTTTTTCTAAAAGAAATCAATGAAGATCAATAATTCAGAGAACTTTTATATCATTGCAACCGAATAAACCACATAGTACATTATACAGGGTGTCCATAAAAAACGTTTCAGGAATTTGGGAAATGAATCCTAATACTAAAAGGAAGATAAACGTTTATGTGAAGGTATGTCCGAAAATGCATATTTACCCAGTAATCCGCCATTTTGTTTTTTATACAAAAATATTTTTATCTGTGAAGTTTTTCATTCGATGATTATGACATTCGGTAACCATGTTAACATACACAAGACCTATAATAGAAAAAAATAATAAAGTTGTTCTGATTGTAATTTTCAAAATCGCGGCCGTTTGCATTTTTCTAATTTAAATAACTCAAAAACGGCTAAATATATGAAAAAATGCCAAGAATAATTTTTTTTAGCATTTTTAATTCCTAATCAAATGATACCAAGATCAAAAAGATCGGGCAAAGGATTTTTACCTTAATTTTACCTTATTTGTACACAAAAAAACGTTATATTTCAGTTATCTTTTGTCCAGTCTTTTTGATCTTGGTACCGTTTGATAGGGAATTAAAAATTCTAAAAAAAGGTATTCATGACATTTTTTCATAGAAATAGCCGTTTTTGAGTTATTTAAGTTAGAAAAATTCAAACGGCCGCCATTTTGAAATTTACAATCGGAACAACTTAATTATTTTTTTATTAGGTCTTGTGTATCTTGTGTAACATGGTTACCAAATTTCTCAATCATTGAATGGAAAACTTCAAAGATAAAAATATTTTTGTATAAAAAACAAAATGGCAGATAACTGAGTAAATAGACATTTTTGGACATAACTTCACATAAACTTTTTTCTTCCTTTTAGTATGAGGATTCATTTCCCAAAGTCCTGAAACTTTTTTTATGGACACCCTGTATATTAAAATGTATAACAGCTTGAGAGTAGGTAAACCTATTGTAACAGAATTGTTTGTTTCAGAAATGGATGAGAATCGTAGAGGTCATGAGTATGTTCGTGCAGTATTATGGAACAGTGAGTATTTTATTATATACTTCATAGTCCTTGTTTCAAATGTTTGAAACCCGTCTACAGAATTTTAATTAAATTGAAACCTAAAAAAAAATCCTCATTGCAAATTTCTTACTTTTTTTAACTATTTTACATACAATGGACCCATGCATGGCCAATTCTTTGGCATTAGAGGTGGGAAATGATGTTACTTAGCAATAATAATCGCACACGTTCCTTAGCTTTTCGGTAATAGGTAGATTAATTCTTAAACAGCCGTCTTGGATCCAAGGACTTTATCTACCAGATGTGTAAGATAGAACTAAAGAACAATCTTAAGTGTCCATGTAACATTTTTTAAATAACATGTAGTGCTATACAAAGTAACTTACATTGTTTTCAGAACCATATGGATTAACAGAGAATAGCCAGTATGGGCCTTTCTACACAACATCCACTACGATCAGCTACTCAGCAGCACCCACTCAGCCCCAGCCAGTGTATACAACCTATGGGAATCCAGCATTCCAAACATCATCCAACCCTTCATCAGCTCAGCCTGTAGAACCTCCTGCCCAGCCTCCCAAGCACCACTACATGGCTCAGCAAAGGCCACACAACCCATGTAAGCCATTAGATCTTTAGGTACCATAGACTGACATTCTAGCCACTATCCAACTCATCAGTCCAGCTTGTGAACCCTCCTACCCAGCCTCCCAAACATACTAACCACTACATGTTATTTTGTAACCATCATGGCTACTCATAACCCTATTGTTAAAAAAATAGTTAGTGAGTTTTTAAGTTACTTTCAAATTGTATTCTGTAGGAATTATTAAATTGAAAGTAGTGTCTTCACAAACCTTCTCATCATTTCTGGTAACAACCTTGGTAAATTTGATTGAAATATGATTAATTGTTACTGCGTGATGATGTAAGAAAGTTTGCATCTCCTCAGTACAAAATCCGATCCTATAAATAAATGCTGGCACTCCAGCACATTTTTTGAACTATTTTTTAATTTCCTTGATGATTTTTTAGTAGCCTAACGACATTCCCTTAATTGGGATAAATTTACATTCCCATCTTAATTACACATTAGATTTGATAGCCTACTAATGTAGTACTTAATGTTTAACAGGAATTAGGTTGCTACAAATTTTCTTTTCTCAAACTTAATTTTCCACAATTTATTATGTTGTTTTGATTAATATAATGTGTTTTGCAAATATTATTCTTTTACAACAATCAAGTAAACTAATTATGGTTGTGTTGTAGCTTACTTGCATGTCACTATTGATGCCAAGTCTCCTTTCCCGGAAGACAACTTCTACTCCAGTGCACAGATCCGACCCGCTACTCATGTACCCCTACATGGAGGGGCTATTCCGATACAGCAGCCTCCACAAGTAAGACAATATCTAATCATTTGTGCTAATTATTCCCGTTAACACTTTTTATTCATGGGGGTTTTTACAATACCTGTCATGCACCACCAAAAGTAACGATCGTGTTGTATGTTTCACACGAAGATGACATTGTCAAACATATCAGTCCAGGGAATATATTAAATCTGCTTGATTAGCTTCCTTGATTGTTTTAACACGCACACTCATTCAACACATGACACATACAACATAGGAATTAATATTTGTAAAAAAATAGGCCTGTCTCAGAAATAAACACAACATGGCCGCAAGCTAGTAGGAACAGACTGTCAGAGGGTTCAAGTTAGCAATGTTTTGTTCATGGCAAACTAGTAATATTAGTCAACACTGCATAGTTTTCAACGGGAATGTTGCTGGAGGTAAAATGTTCGCTAGGTCAAATAATTTATACTTGTGCCAATAGGTCAAAAACTACAATGTTTGCAGTGTCTGTAGGTCAAAATTCTCATTGAGCCAATAATACAGTCCGTGCTGAAAACATAGTCTCTGTTAAAGCGTTTGATACATTGGGATTTTAACCTGCAACAGCAGTTTTAATATGACAAAATACAATAAAATACACATCCCTCTGACTTCAGTGATAATGATATCATATAGCCTACAGTAAAACCCATTATATATGTGGTATAGACGGGACCAAAGGATAAAAGAATTACTGGATAAACCGATTTTAGAAATGCACACAGTTAAAAAACGCTACAGACACAGTCAAAAAGTCTGTAATACCCGCAGTACAGGAGTGTGTTGTTGTTGCATTTCCTTTGCGAAGACCTTATTTTTTTATAAACAAATTTCTTGAAAATTCGAGACCCGTCCATCCCTTCTGTTAAAAGTATTAGTGCCATTTCTTAAAGACATTTTCAAGCATCCAAACAATCCTTACTAATTGAGTAGTGTACAATAGTGATACAAATATTATGAAATACACAATTTGTTCACAGGGAGCAAAGACTGGAGGTATAACATCAGGCTATCCGATCAGACCACCAGCATCAGCCCCTACTGCTACCACCCCTCATGTGAGTATTCATCTTTCAACACTATACAGTGTACAGACTATTAGAAAAAAAATTTGAACTGTTACAACTGTAACCTGTAAGTGTATTACTACGACAATGTGAGGTAAAATTAAAGTTAGCAAACTTAACCTAGGAATAAAACTCTTTCGTCATACTGCAGCAAAACAGCTGTTTTCAATGCATGCGTTGCGGGTTTAAGTCAAATTTTTACTCCATTAGTGAGTAAAAATCAGCTGTTGCCAACTCAGTTGTAAATTTATTTTTATGTAAACAATCCCATGTATCAAAAGTATGTATAGATTATAGCTTATTGTAAATAGTCCCGCACAGATTTATAACCTTTGGGCTTTATTGCTCTATGTTTTGTTATATGCTATTTTCATGTTTTGTAAACAGTTTAAAGTAAAAAAAATTGTGTTTAGATAACTATGTAAGCATATTTGTAGAACTAGGCAGATTTGTGTTTCAACTTCAACTACTACTAGTGTACCTGTTGCTCGAATTCGAGCAATTGCAAAGCATTACAGGCGACTCAAAGATTATGGAAATACTCACGATCTACACAACAGTTAGATATAATCAAAATCTTTTGTAAATATCTTTTTTTTTCAAAAAGCTGATCTTGTTTTTTAGTGTTTCTACAAATTTTTCTCTCTCATAGCCGCATTAGGTTGTCTATAATAACGATTATAAATGAAAAAAAAAAACATTATTTCTTTTCTTCTACTTGGTTGTGTTCTATGATTTTTTTCTATGTTTCTCTTTTTTGCAAATTGCAAATCGGTTATTTCAATGATTGCTCAAGAAATGTAGCATATTGTTAATTCAGTTTTATTTTTAGCCTATATCAAATTGTCCAGGATTTCTCGCTTTTTTCCATTGTAATAATTTCACCAACCCAAGTTTCGTCTACAGATGCAATACGCCAAAGAATATCACCATTGACTATATAACACTACTAGATTGAAAGCCCCATGCATTTGGTTGTGAACAAGCAATCAGCACACTCTGGCGGGAAGGGGCGATCATAGCGCTGACGTCACTGACCAGTAGGTGCTGCCACGATGTGGCGGGCAATGAAAACATATTGCTGTCTGCTGTTGCTGTTACGACGCAATGTACAGACAGCCGACAGCTGAGCCATGCTACCCGCACCCACGTGACTTGCCGGAACTGCACATCCGCTCCCCGCTCGCATCGAATTCGTGTTGTTTAGAAGTGAAGCGCGACTGATCATTAATTAAACTGCTTCGCTAAGAATCTGAGATATTAGACAGGGACTCGTATCCTAATATTCATCGTGATATTTTAGTGGTATGTGAATTCGATTGATAAAAAAGATGTCCTTTAGATATGTATGAATTTCCTATCTAATCAAATTTAAAACGTCGATGAGAATAACTTAAATACAAATTTTCGTAATCAAACGCGTCATGTTGTAAATGTTTTGTTGTAAGAATTTATAATCAAATATTTAATATGAATTGAGAAAGTGTGATATTTTATCAATAAATAAATAAATTTATTTATCCACATATCACAATTAAATTTTAATCTATTAAGTATAGTAGAATACACCCACCTAACATTTTGAAACTAGTGAACGAGCTTGAAATAACGACCACACAAAACACCCAAAGCAAATAAAAACTGCAAAATGTGCTCAGAGAAAAAGAGAAAGTGAAATGACAGAACATGGGGGGTGGCAGAGCGTTCGTTCAGTTCGGGTAAGGGCATTGCCTTCACACAATACCCGACAACCCCTAGGCTACACTATGATTTACAACATCTGGCTGCTATAGGGAAAAAGGCACCAGTTGATGTGTCAGTAATATGAGACATTGCTGCTGTAAAACGGGGTTAAATATTTGATAGGCCTATGGTAAGCCTCAGTTTTAATTTAGAAGTGTGATATAACTGTTAAACACGTCCTTTAGTTCCGTTATCAGCCAATTTTATATTTATAATAAACTATCGCCATAGGCGCTCAGCCTGTGATCGATTTACTTTTTCGTTTCGATGTCCCCAGAGACCAGAACTCCATCCTTTCTCATTAAAAAATATGTATCTATACTACAGTATTATAAAACGTGGTGGTGAGAGTCAGTCTGTCTCCACTATATCACATCCATTTTTGCAACCGCTAAAAATGTTAAACCGATGTAGTCAATATGAAGACCTATGAACGTTTTAGGTTTATTAACTACCCTACTTGGACAAATTTCGTACGTGGAAAGTCTATTAAAACTGTGTAGTGGGGAAAATATCATAATTAATTGGGTTCTAAAACATGTTACTATTATTATATGGACTTTAAAAAAAATAATACTGCAAGCTAAATGTTAATTATTATTACTTTAAACAGTAGGAGTTGATCCAACTCCAGAAACGTTGAGTATCCTATAAAACACAAGAAACATTGATGAAGTTCAAATAATAATAATGGTGTAACAATAGTCTTGTGAATATTTGTTTACGAAACCAGTAGGGAACTGTACAAAGTCTCTGTGTTTTGGACGATTTTGATATTGTGATATCAAATTTACACTGCTTAACGTATAATTGAAATAGCCTTCAAAATACACAGCTTTTTATAATACTAGATGTTTATAAATGTTCACAAATCAATGGGAAAAAATAACCAAAATGGGTATTTACCAGCGGGTATTTATTATATTATATTATGGTATTTATTATATACCAGTGGGAATATATTACAAACAATTAAAAATCCGAAACGACCTTCACCCTCAACATGGTGATTTATTATATCACAAGTGTGTTTCATACATAATTGAAGTTCATTACCTAAACAATATCCTTTGGTTGGTGATTTCAGAGATAGAATTGACATTTCGCATGTATACTTCTCCACTGTGTACATACAGCTTACAATTCTTTATTTTTTAAACCATTGTTCGTATAACAATAAAATATAAAACACTTGCATCATTCTTGCATGCTAATCTTTCACGCTTTGAAAAAGAAACCACGCTCGCCCAAGATTGGGATTACAAATTTCCAAGGACTGGCGAGGGAAGCGTTCACAGAAGAGAAACTTTTATTACCCTGCTAAAAGCCCTAGCTGAATGACAAGTGGTCCTACTCTTAAATCCAATACAGCAATGTATCATATTATATTTTAGTAATAAGATAATTATTAGCATTTTTAAGACTAAAATACAAACATTTATTTTTTTAATTGATTGACAAGTATTAAAGTATTGGTATATACTTGAGTTACTGGAGACACTATTTAAAACTATTTAAAAGTAAAACTTACCATTACTAACCCATTAAGGTATAAAGTTACTTGGTCGTTTCGTTTGTATTTACAAAAAATGACAAACGTTGTTGCCACGTTAAAACGTTTTTTCTTCAATTGTTTTGCAAAAAGTATTTTAGTGGTTGCTCCTGATTGTTTTGAATGTTATTACTTTTTCATTAATAGGTTTAACTATTTTAATTATTACTATATCAGCAATTTTGAGTATAAACGCTTAAGCATAAATCTATTTATTTTATTGATAAAGTACATTATTGCTAAGGATTCAATACTGTTTGGAGGTTAAGTTAAAATTATTTGAGTTCTTAACCAAATTCTTATTTCAAAGCTGGCCCGTTAGATAAGGCTTAGTATTATAGTTGTTACATTTGTATTATTCGTGACTTAATGGGTTAAAACCCATTAAACTATATACATATATTTATATTAATAAATAATACACCATAGTACCCTTTTTAAATTACTAGTGTCCCTGTTGCTCGATTTCGAGCAATTTCTAAGTATTACGGGAGTTATTTTAAAACGGATGAAAGTTATAATTTCTGATGACTTTAAAAGATTAGACTCAAAGATTATGGAAATACTCAAGTACATAACAGATCGATATAATCAACGTTTCTTGAATATATCTTATCATTTTTCAAAAATGATAAATGATGTACTTTTGAAAAATTATCTTTTTTGTGTTTTCTACAAATGGCCTAAGTCATAGCCGCATTCGGTTGTCTATAATAATGATTACAAATATAAAAAAAAACATTATTTCTATTTCTTCTCCTTGGTGGTGTTCTATGACTTTCCTATGTTTCCATAGTTTGCAAATCGGCTCTTTCAATCATTACTAAGAAATGCAGCACAGTGTTAATTCAGTTTTCTTTTTAGTATATCAAATTATCCAGGCTCTCTCGCTTTTTCCGTTGTAATATTTACGCCAACCCAAATTCAAATAGTAAATGTTTCATTTTAACCAAGTCAGTAAATATTTGTAGCAAACTGTTAAATTGGCAAACTTAGACTGTTTACAATTAACATGTTCTTCTTCTCACTTTTAATTTCTGAAAACAGCTGGAGTTTCATAACAATTTTTGTTTCCCATGTTAATCTTATGGAGAAATACGAAAATTTAAAGGGTCCCAGGGCCTCACTCTCTAATTATTTCCCTAAAAAGAAAGTTTCCTGCACAACTTCACGTTACGCTCTTTCCAATGACACCAAAAACATATCAATCGGTTCAGTAGTTTCGGAGGAGTAATTGTCACAAAAAACCTGCTTGCGTATTAAATAAGTAATATAGATTTTTAATGACTGATGCATTTCAACACTAAGGTCATGGTCACAGTCTTCCACAATGTTATTAAATCTAATATGTAAACAAAGAAAATAAATACAATCACATGTTTAAATTTTAACTAAATCTATCTTGACTTGGAAATTTATATAATTAATATAATTAATAATAATATAATTTATATAAGAATATCGTTATACCAATGGTTTTACTTATTCATTTTGTCTTAATTCTTGGATCTTATCATAAATTGGGTTTTAAATTTTGTGTTTGCATTATGTTAAGGATGTTGTTTTCATTTTTTCTTGTTGCTAGATATATGTGTAATTCTTCTTTTACATTCATCCTTTCTCCTTTTTGTTCATATTCAAAAATTTTGACACTACTGTATCTTCAATTTTTCCATAACTATGGTTATGTGATAAAATGTGTTCCGCGTACATTGATTTTTGAGTTGTCATGTTGTTGGATTTTACTGATTGGAAGACTGTGACCATGACCTTAGTGTTGAAATGCATCAGTCATTAAAAGTAATTTAAAAAGGGTACTATGGTGTATTATTTATTAATATTAATTACAGTAGCCCTACACGTGAACAATATCAAATATAACATATATTTATATATATATGTTATGTGATTGTGGCCAATTAACAATACTTGTGTTGATAATGTTACTTCTTGTAATATTATATTGAAATACAACTTATTTCGTACTATATCTCAATGAATTGAATGCACTTTGAAAAACTACGCTATTAAGTAAAATTTGTTTACTTTTAAAGTTTTAGTAACACACATCTAAACACATCTAATAATTTGTACTTTACGTTTTCTTACCGCGGCAAGGCCTGTATTTGTTTTTTTTTTGTTTTTTATAAGTCTCAGTTATCTTTCATAGGTGTCACAGTATACGTATTCAACTTTATGGGCTTTATTTAAAAAATGATTCACACATTTAATTTCATTAAATAAACACAAATGCATAGTATTTTTAATATAATTATTTACAAATTATAAGCCAATTCAACTAACCTCCTCAGTGCCTAAAATATAAAAAAATCGTCTACAATATAAACTATATTCGCGATTTAAATTATTCAATCGTTGAATCACTATTTTTTTGCTTTTTGTAACTGTAGATATGTGCTTTGTTCTTTGTGCATGCTATTATTTATACTTTTTTATTACTATTTACACTAATTATATTCATGGTTATACGTAATAAATATTATTTTTACACAATTTTTTTAATTTCATTTACCACTATTTCAGTTTAAGTATCATGCCACTTTGTAAAAAGTGTAATGCAAAATGCCTGAATTATTTTGCAATGCAGATTTGTCACATTATTTTTCAAACCAGATAACGAGAACCCCAGCGTATGCAGGAGTATATTTTCTTTTAACGCATTAAAAAAAAAACATTTATTTGTATACAGCAGAACCAAATTTTTGACCAGGGTGTTTTATATTTTTATACATTGGGTTGTCTGTAGCTGCCGATGTGGGGTCTTCATTTGCTAAATCATAGGGCCATAAACGAAGGATCGTAAACTTTCACCGTACCCCAGCTTACAAAAGCCGAGATATCGCAGCAGTAGCCTACTACATCAGGAGCAATGACCTACATTGCATTCACAGTCACACAGCTGCGCCGCCGCCGCCGAGTGAGTACATCGCGAGCGCGGGGTGGGCAGATTTTCCCATCCTTGTTAGTCAGTCGTGACGTCATCGTTGATTCGTTCGATTCGAGAAGTCGATGTTGTTTTGCAACATAGTCACTTTGACATATCGTCTATCGATATTTGATCGTGTTCGCGTCGAATTCGTTTATCATCATGGTTGTTTCGTTGTTTGTTAGGTTCAGGTTGTTTCTTTACATTTTTATGAATATGAATCTGATAGTCACAGTAGAAAAACCTTTTAAACTTATAGGACGGTCTGTAATTTAAATTTACCGCTCATATGCAAATCTAATTGTATTATCGGATCGGAAATAAGGAGCTTAATCCAAGTTGGACGTGGCTTGTGACCAAAAGTAAAAGATATAATAAACAAGAAAGACTTAAAGCTTTACCATAGATAAAACATACTCCCTTATGGCTATACATAACCATAGATAAAACATACTCCACATAACCTAGCCAAAATCCGCACGTGCCCACTAACTCTACTAAATTGGTTATTTCTAATGGAACTTAATTTCGGGATCTTTTAACAAGATTATACTTTGTTTTACTGATTTTCATTCAACAATGTATGCCTATTTAAGTTATTAAAATGTATTTTGTTCTCATTTGTTACCCCTAGTATATTAATTTAATATGGATATTTTGTGTTTGGTTTTAGCTAAAGATTTGTGAAATTTAAGTTGTGCTTATAAAACTATTGCCGGTAACTATTAAGTTTTGGGCATTTCAAATGCTTAATTTTAGACGTAGGCTAAAATAACATAACAGGCATAGCCTAATTAATTGAACATCAAGAGGATGTCATAGGCTATGTAGCCTACTTTGCAAGTCCTAGGTCCTATTATTTTGGTAATAAACCCCTTTATAATTCAAAGGCATGGCATCAAAGCAATGAAGATCCAAACCTCTAATAATTTACAGTTTAGGCCTGGCCTATAAACTTAAAAGCAGTATTAACAACTTCTGAACCCAGCTAGCTTAAAGCTTCCGAATCTATTAACATAGACTTATTAGATTCTATATCCTATTCCCAATATGGCCAGCTTATGGAAATTCAGAATTCACCAAGGTCAAAAAATTAGTTATTAACAAAGTAATTTCGATTCCACTTGATCACCATCATTATTATCTTCTGTCACCTCCATTTCCTCTAATAGGCCTAGGCCTAAGTTAAGTTAATAGGTACTTAAGTCATATATGTAAATATAAAAATGTATAATTTAAGTTAAACTATCCAGAAAACAACATCTCGTAAGTTAAGTGAAAATTAAACAAACTAGTCAGTTATAGTACCGTATCTGAAAAAAAGATTAACAAATTTTCTTTTGTTACGCTTGTCGACATACATCCAATCCAACCAAACAAAGAAAGAGAACAAACCAGAGAATAGAACCAAAGAACGAGATTCAAGATTCCAGGGGCCCATTTCATAATAAAGTACAAACTAATATTATTAGTAAATCAGCTGATCGCCCAATGCAAATCTAATGGAAATTACAAGTTACAAGTTGTAACTTGTAGCTTGTAGTTTATTATGAAATGGGCCCCAGAAAGATAGATTTTAGAAGGATGCGTTTCTCTAGTATAAGTAAATTAGGAGTATTCGATTATTGACTATTTTGACTTGAGGAGCTATGCGATACCAGTACGGTAATTGCATCGCATCGACGATGGTCGATGACGTCTCGACTGACTAACAAGGATCGGAAAATCTGCCCACCCGAGCGCGGGCAATCGTTCACTCCGCATCGCCGAGTCTAGTCCAACAGTTTAGTCTAGTCTAGTCCGCCGCTAAGCTCAGTCCAGTCCAGTTGGCAGCAACTGCAGCGCGCCAGGCGACGGTTCCATGAACTTCGTGGTGACGGTGCTGCGATCTAAGTAGAGGGGTCAGTACTACGTGCATCCACCGTGCACAACACAGTACATTGTAGAAATTTCCTGTTCACGCGTCCTCCCGCATAGTCTTCAATCTAGTAGTGTTATATAGTCAATGATATCACCTACGTACAATCTCCAAGAAGTGGTAAAAAAAGGCAGAAACCAAGCCATACAATAGATATAAGCATTGACTGTATTATATAGTCAATGATATCACTCCATAAGAAATAATTTTAAGACTTACTGTGATATTAGGATTTTCCACTGATTTGGTAATAGAACATTATGCAAAACATGACTTGATGCACGATAAAATCGATTTTAAAATCAGAAAAATCCATTGCAAATACTGTACTTCATTTTGAAAAATTCAATAAATCTCAATTTAAATATTAACAGCTGTTTCATTAAAAAGTAGTGTAGAATTATGCATATGGTCGTAATGTAAACAAATCTGAAGAGGCAACTTTAAAGGCTTCTGGGGCAGAGCCCCAAGGGAATTTACCTCGTTCCTCTTTTGATGGCTCGTCTATAGACCAAGACCTTTCTTTAGAGACCCCTACCAAGTTTCTACGCCCAGCCGTTCTCTCAAATTAGCTGGGACAAAAACCCAGTTTTTCCTCCATAAGAATAACATGGGATGGGAATTCAAAGGCAGGGAATTTACCACGTTTCTCTTTTGATGGCTCATCTACAGACCAAGACCTTTCTTTAGACACCTCTACCAAGTTTCTACGCCCAGCCGTTCTCTCAATTTAGCTATGACAAAGAAAAACAGTTTCAAATTTGTGATTTTTACTTTTACAACAACTATAACTATGCATATTGAGCAATAGAGAATTTTTCAATTCAATTCAGTTTGACATATCGATAATAATGTACATAAACACAATTGTAATTGACGGAACGATTGAATCACTTACTAAATAGCTGCTTGTGTCCATTAGCAACTTAAATTGAAAACAAGTTAGAAGTAGTTTTAAAAGGTTATCTTAAATGAAAACTATTTCAGTTTTGTAACATAGTTTGTCCAATGGTGCAGTATGAAAATAATATAGTTCCATCACAAGGGAAAAAAGTGTCTTTTCAACCTTCGCTCATTTTCTGGGAGCTCAGGTTAAAAAGAGTTATTTTATTCTCTAGTGATGAAATATACATAGTATTTAATTATTGTTATACTATTCATAGAACTGTAAATGTTGTTGCAGAGTGTGTACGTGAGTCAGACCTCCAGTGGCAGTCGTCTTGTTTACAGCCAACCAGTCACCTCTCAGCCCAGCATCAGGTACTCTGTGCCGCCAATGCAACGTGAGACTTAACTTTCACAACATGTACTGTACAGGCCCAAGCACTGTAGATAGTCTTCAGTTGCTTGTATGACTGAGAGGAGTTTAAAAGCTTTACACTTTACCTCAATTTCTATGCTTCACATTATACTTTTATAATTACCTACTATGTTCATATTTTTGTTTTGTTTTAATTATTGTTTAATATCATATATCCACCAAAGGTAACTTGCCTGTCATCAACGTAAAATACTCTTTAATTTTAGAGCTAGTTTCCTTAAGCTTTTACAGATTCTAAGCTCGTAAAAGGTTTTGTAAATATATATACATCAAAATCTAGTATTTAAGTTAATTATTATAATTTATGGTTTGGCACAGGGAATCCTCATTCCAAAACGTGCTTTCTTATTCAGTGTCCCATTTTTAGGTTTTGGGTATTATAAAACTGAGATATTTTAACATAAACATAAACAAGATCCTTACTGGCAAAAAAATCATTTGTAATTTGAGCAATATTGGTATTAGGAAAGCTAAATTCCCCTTATTTTAAGTCTACCATTTCACCCAGGATTTATTTTAAATTTCAAAGATAAATATCTAATATATAAAATTCTCGTGTCACAGTGTTTGTCTGCAAACTCCTCCGGAACGACTTCACCGATCGTTATGAAATTTGGTGTGTAAATTCTGTAGGTATGCGAATAGGAAGTAAACTATTTCCCGTTTCGAAATTCTTAAAAGGGCTCCGCCCCATTATTTTATAATTTTAAGTTTGGTCGGGTTTGAAAACCCAAGTTTTGTTGTTAAAATACAAACTACAAAATTTACAAATTTACATTTATTAAATATAATGTAATGGTAATGGTAATGGTGTTTAGTTTAAAGAATGTTCTTTTGTTAATTAATCATCTGCATTATATTTTTACAAATAGTAAAGGACAAAATTAGTTTTTATTATTAGCCTAAGTTGTGAATTAACTGTTTATTTCTTTATGTAATATTATTGTTTTCTATTTAATAAAATGTTCTTTTAACAAAACTAAGATGATGTTTCTTTTTAAGTACTGCTGTGTGAATCACTACCTGTCTATCATCTCTAGTATAGAGTATCCACTGTTAAGAAAACTTGCTCACCCTAATTTTGAAACCACAGCTGACAGCTGATAAATACATCAAGCTAAAAAAAGTGGTTGAGGAACCCAGGAAACTTTCCCCTCCCGGACTGTAGGCAGTTATATCCGCTATTATTTTGTGCATAGAGGACGGTAGGTGAATATATTCGCCCATCTATTTTTGGTGGACTATTACATCTATTGTCATAGTTGATTATATATAACAACATTAATCTTCGTAAAAACAGTCTTTTATCCAATTATATCTTAAACCGATATACAAGGAATGATTTTCTAGAAAAAGAAAAAAAATTAACAAAAAAATAAAACAAAAATATTTTGGACAAAAGTGCTGCATAGTTCAACTATTTACAACATTCTATAAATTACAAATATAAAAAAAGTATAATATATGTTCAGTGGTATTAAATCTGATTGTTATGTTCTTTTTCTCTATAAAATGTTACGATTCTTCAGTTTACGTTCTTGCAAAACCATCAAGCGGCATGATAACCCATAAGGCACATGTTAACTTTTCAAAAGTTTGTATATATACTCTACAAATAAAGAGATTTTCCTGGCTATAACACTAGTCTCTAGAACTTATTTTAAAGCAGAACTTAGCTATACTGTAAGTAATATATAAAACTTTACTCCTGTTTAGGATGGTAGAGGGTTGCTGAATAAAAATTTCTATTAATGCTTTTAATTATTTATTTATTTTTTAAAGTATTTTCAATAGAATAAAGGCCTTTACATAACATTGTATAAACAAGTATCAAAATATAAAATATCTTCAACAAGATGAATATTGCACCGTAATTGCTTACCATAGGTAAAATATTGACAACTATTTTCATTTCAACTAGTTGTGCTTGGAATTTACCCACGGACTCAACACAGCAGCTATTCCTGTGTTGAAGGGGGTGTGTTGTCCAAACCCCAGTTCCTCCAGTCTAGAACGGGAGAGTTCGGTGTCCAAGGGCCGTTTTGTGTTTGACCCTGACGTCTCGTCTGGTTGGATGTGCTTACAAGAGATTTCAAATATTTTTGCGATGCCCAAAACCATTTGATGTTTGGTCATTTTTTCTTTGCCGCACCACATAAAAACTCCCGCTACAGATTGGTCCTAAAGGAAAAATATATATAATTCAAATTAGTTTTTGAAGTTTAAATAATGACTATTAGAACAAACAATAAGGTTAAAAAAATTGATTCCTTTTTTAAATTTGCAGGCCTGACATTTTTTATTTAGCTAAGCTTTAATGCATAATAACTAAACTATGTAATAACTTAATGCCTTACAATAATAGTTATTTGTGCAACTAGTGAGAAAAGTGAGCAATTGACTCACTCGAGAGAAATCCTTACCATCCTACTAATCCTTAGGAATGGTTTCTCGAGTGAGGCAATTGTACTTTGAACTCGAGTTGCACATTATACTTTTCCTACAGTTACCATAAAACAAATAAATTTGTATAGAAACATAACCTATTTTTACACAGAAGTGAACTTTTAATATAACATTTAATGTGAAGTGACAAATACAACAGTACAACAGCTGACCAGCTGATTTACAGCCAGTGCTGCCAAACGTATTTCACGCGCATACGACGTTGCCTGCATGTTACGCGCTCACTATTTCGTGCCTTCACGTTGCAAATCTGGAGTGAGACAAAGTAATTAGAGTGAGACAATGTTAACATTGTCAATTGACAATGTTATTGACAATTGTATTGACAATGTTAACATTGTCTCACTGATGAGCGAATTGGCCACTTTGCTTTCTCAAATCAGTGAGAGAACATGTACATTGTTAAGTGTCAAATTCAAATTTCAAATTCAAATAGTTTATTGCCATTAAGTATACATGTCATACAATAGGCCAGGACAATGGAGATAATATACAATTCAAAGTACAATGTACAGAGTCAAGTGTAAATAGATGAACATGCTATACTAATGTTAGGTAACTGTAGGAAAATAAATTTGTCACAATTCTCTTTTTTAACATACCATTTAACAAAATTCTTAATGTTATGATGTAGATTTACAAAGTAGCCTATCAACAAGTACAGTATGATGGAACAAGTGGTTGATTTTAAAATAAATGTCACCTAATTTTGGGGGTCATTTTCTGAGATTGGTGGAGTCAGATTAAGAAGACAAATAAGAGCCGCCAGCAAATTTTTTCAATAAGATAGAAAAAAAGATTTTTAATACCTAAAATTTGAAAAGAGTGATGTGTGAATTAATTACCAGAGCTTTCATAAATATAGTACTTTTGTAGTATTGACTTGCATAAGAACTTTTCATAAGTTATACTGTAACAGAAAAATACACTTTCTTTTTGAACAATTCAAGAGAGACTACGCAAATATATGTCAGCACCCCTTCTACCTTCAAACAAGTCTTAATTAGGGTTTTATTTAAAGCATGACTGATATGGTTACCACAAGAAAAGGGTACTTTCCTATTAAAGGGAACATTCATTATTACCGATGATTTTTTCGATATATCGATATTTTTGTTATACTAGACATCAATTTGAAACATGTACATCCATCACAATGTCAATAGAGTGATTGCAGCACTATTGTGATTTTTTCTGCCATAGTGGCTAAGTCCTGAATATCTCCCGAGATGGTAGAGATAGAATAATGTTGGTAGAGAGTTTGGGGACACCGGAGTTAGGCAAAAGTATGGATACAACAGGTTACACCATGAAAACTTAACCCTCCAAACTTTTATGTGACACCAAAGTGTTTTTTTTTTACAAATGCCTTCATTAAAGACTATCAGCACAATATGGAGGGGAAACAAATATATGAAAGAAAAAATAGGGGGGTTTCTAGTTTCTATACAATTCTTGAAAATTTGGCAAAGATTTGTGACAGGAATAATTCTCAAATACACTTTTTTAATGTGCTTGATTTTTATAAAATAAATAATATTTTTGCAACATTTCATGTAGGCCTAATATATATTTCTGGTAAGTAGCTTATTCTGGGGAAAGTGATAACAATTGATTTAGTACTTAAATGGATATGGTCCAGTTTATAAACGTCTGTTAACTTACAAACGGTCCGATAGTTCTAAATTTTTTACATGTTTTTATATGTAAAAAAATATTTAATAAAAAAAAAAACAAATCAAACTTTTTGGCTGGAACCCATCAGAATGAGTAGAGACGCTGCTTCCCCAAACCTGCTAAACACCATCTCATGCAGATGCACAACAGGCTGTATAGGGGCGTGTGGCTGTAGAAAGGCGGGCCTAAATTGTTCCGCCCTTTACAAAGTGTGTGGTAGCCAAGAATGCATCAACAGGAATAAAGTCACCGTCGACGACGAAGATGACGCCGAACTACTAACTCCTATACTTGAGGAGGACAATGAATACTCAGTCTTAATTCTCTCACCCCCTACTAAACAAGCAAAGCTCCAGTCACTCTATTGACATTGTGATGGATGTACATGTTTCAAATTGATGTCTAGTATAACCAATACTGCTTTTCTTGTGGTAACCATATCAGACATGCTTTAAATAAAATCTATTATATATATAATACGCTAAGCCGATTTTTGTAAACAGAACTCCTCCCTCATTTTCGGACCGATTTTGATGATTAAAGTGTCAAAAGAATGGCCCTGATCTGTAGTTTTGCAAAGTGTTTTTATTTTTTTGAAATCTTTATTAGTTCGGGCTGGATCTTCCATCAAAGTTGGGTTTTCTCCCATAAGTTTAACATGGGGGAATCTAAATATTTAATTGGAAACTTTGTCTCCACTAATTTCAGAGAAGGCTGGGCGTAGAAACTTGGTAGAGGTGTCCAAAGAAAGGTCTTGGTCTGTAGATGAGTTATCAAAAGAAAAACGAAGTAAATTCCCTTAGGGCTCTGCCCCAGAAGCCTTTAAAAGATACCTCCACAGATTTGTTTACATTTTGGCCATGTGGATAATACCATAGACAAAAAGAATGAAATATAGACTGTCAGCCGTGCTGCGGTTGCCATGGTTACCATAGGTTCCGGCGCACACCGCTGTAGTTTACGTAGCGCGTACGCCGTAACCACCGTGGTGCTCCAAGCGGTGTGCGCCAGAACCTATGGTAACCGCAGCACAGCTGACGGTCTATATTTCATTCTTTTTGTCTATGATAATACTTTTTAATGAAACAGCTGTTAATTTTTAAATTGTATTTTAAACAACATACATTTATTGAGAGTTACTGAATTATCCAAAGGAAGTATTTGCAATGTTATTTTCTTAAACTCTTAGAGAGCCTTTGAATGTTATTAGTTTAACGAAAAAGGGTTGTGCATGTTTACTAGCGCTACTCAGCAACAAAAACAATTTAATTCATCTCTAAAAAATATATTTTTAAAGTGCACTGAGCAGCAGCCTAAAAAATACTATGTAACTTCATCATATAGTTACAAAATGTTCAAACTCGCATTGTGAAATTTATGAATAGGCTTATATTTCTCAGTTATTCATCTGCAGAAGAAGTTCAGTGTGCTCTTATCGTGTCTAATAACATCCAAACTCAAAAACCTTGCCTATAAAATGGTACCGATCTTGACAAATTATTTGCAGTGGCCTATATTACGGACCGTGGCCCACTGGGTTGGTAACATTATTGAAAGTAACACAATATTTTGACTGTGAGAGTAAATACTATTTAAGCAGATACTGTCATGACAGAAAGGTCATATATTCCTTTTAAACTAGATTACATTATCCTTAATAAGATACGTTGATTAACAATGCATGTAAACGTCAATATTTACGTAACAGCCAATTTACAGTATGTTTTTCTCTTTGCTAATGTCACATTGCTATTTCATTTGCATTATTTGTTGCCAATGAAGCCACACGACCATATAAACAAGGAGGCCCCTAACCGTCGATTTCGACGGGTTTCACCTAGTATTAAATAAAACCCTACTTAAGACTTGTTTGAAGGTAGAAGGGGGTGCTGACATATATTTGCGTAGTGTTCTAATATGTTAGTTATTTAATTTTATTTTATTAGTTATTAGTTTACTTATTTTTTAAATGTTTGTAAAGATTATTACAGTATATGATCTTATTTTGTTTAAATAAATGAATCTTAAATACCTAACACCTCCTCTCAACAGTGGATATTTTTAAGGGGAATATAGTACCTGTATCATGAGCATTGCACTGTTACATGTAAGTATGGTTTTTATTACCTTAAAATTAAAGGTAAAACTGAAAAATAATTAGTAAAATTTTAAGTCACAAAAGCATAAAAATATACCAATTCTTTCAATTTTTTTCAACGGAGATATAGGGGAAAATCTCTAGAAAGTACCAATTTTTTTCCAATATGGTGGCAGGCGCGGAGGGGGGAGAATTGTGCATTTTGCATTTTAAACACCTACTAGCCACCATAGACAATATATAACAAATTTAGAACTACCGGACCGTTTGTAAGTTAACCCCCCTATTTTTTGTCTCTATTTACTGGAGGACTAAATAGTAGGCTAGGAAAAGTGGGCCTATGATAACTTAACAAATAGAGACCTTAAGTCGTGCAGTCGCTAGTTGAAAGCAGATAAGTGCAATGTCGTCTACATGTGAAGGACAACGGCGCTCTACGTTGGAAACTTTAACAATAGTGCCATTGTTGAGCAGAGGCTCAAGCAAGCAAGTGACTGCTGACTCCTTCAGTGACTCGACTGGTCCGTACAGGACTGGCACTCGAAGTACAATATTCCCTGAGGAGTAGATAAAAATATATTGGAAAAAGTCTGATGAAAACTTACTAATATTACTTAGTACTACTGGCCCAAAGCAGAACTTTTTACAACTTTCTGCAGATGACTTGGAAAATACAAAAGTTTTCTGCGGACTTACACGGTCCAAGTTGCGTGTAAATGAATGTGTAAATGAAGTTGCGTGTATGATAGTTTTAATGAATATTTGGAAATTAATAAGTTTTCAACAAAAACGGGGGGTAGGAATAGACAAATATGCCTACTATTATTATATTAAATGGCTTTAGTAATTCGGTTATTCTATGGATTGTTTCTCTATCGATGCACCGAATATTGTCTTTGAAGCTTTTATTTATATAAAGCCCTAAGGTTATGAACCTGTGCGGGAGTTATGTTTAAAACCCAGTAATAGGCTAGAGAGTGCCTGGCCTGAATCGGTGCCATAATTATACTAAACATATGTTTAAAAAAGTAGGCCTAACATAAACATAGCTTCTTCACATGAAAAATATAACTTCCTAAATATGTATTATAAAAGTATGAGGCATTGTTTAAAACACTATGCCCTTCATATTAGAATAGTAAAAATTTATTAGGCTAATAGCAAAAATAATACTTACAAACCCTCCATATAAGAAATATTTAGACATTTTGTAGGAAATTTGCCTATAATATCTAAAGTAACCCCTATATGATGAACATTCTTTATAACGGATTTTCATTTTCACATTCTCTATCACGTATTTGATCCATATTTAGCATTTTCAAATTCTAGATAGTTTAGAAAAAAACACAAAATTCTATATTTTTAGAGTAAGAAACAGGGGAAAATCCTGTTCTCATAGTCATGCTGGTTTGCAAACTTATCTGAAATAACCTTTCATATGTTTTAACCAAATCAAAAAAAATTTGACCATTCTTAATCTAGTTGTGCTAATGCAAATTTAACACTATCACCGAAACCCTACCTAACCGAAACCCCCGGTCTATGAGACCTCATTTAAAAAATGATGGACCCCACTTAGAAACACAAAAACCGAAACCCTCGGCCTGTGAGACCCCGCTTTAAAATACACTAACGCTGTGCGTCTGAGACGGGCATGTTATGAACAGACATCCTGTCGAGGTCGCGGCACCCATGCGAATGAACAAATAGTATATCAATAGGGAGGGTGGAAAACGGGAGAAGTTATTGGGGGAATGGAATCTCCCAAGTAAATGTTGCTATAATGCGTTTGTGAAAATTCCCGTGGACCTGTCAGACCGGGGTTTCGGTATTAGTGTTAATATATACTAGTTCTTCTCCCAGTGCTTCGCAACAGGGCAAGAGCACTTAAGAGAATAATGTGGGTCTTTAAATCTACTAAAAAATATACAGTTACCCCTATATGATGAACATTCTTTATAACGGATTTTCATTTTCACATTCTCTATCACGTATTTGATCCATATTTAGCATTTTCAAATTCTAGATAGTTTAGAAAAAAACACAAAATTCTATATTTTTAGAGTAAGAAACAGGGGAAAATCCTGTTCTCATAGTCATGCTGGTTTGCAAACTTATCTGAAATAACCTTTCATATGTTTTAACCAAATCAAAAAAAATTTGACCATTCTTAATCTAGTTGTGCTAATGCAAATTTAACACTATCACCGAAACCCTACCTAACCGAAACCCCCGGTCTATGAGACCTCATTTAAAAAATGATGGACCCCACTTAGAAACACAAAAACCGAAACCCTCGGCCTGTGAGACCCCGCTTTAAAATACACTAACGCTGTGCGTCTGAGACGGGCATGTTATGAACAGACATCCTGTCGAGGTCGCGGCACCCATGCGAATGAACAAATAGTATATCAATAGGGAGGGTGGAAAACGGGAGAAGTTATTGGGGGAATGGAATCTCCCAAGTAAATGTTGCTATAATGCGTTTGTGAAAATTCCCGTGGACCTGTCAGACCGGGGTTTCGGTATTAGTGTTAATATATACTAGTTCTTCTCCCAGTGCTTCGCAACAGGGCAAGAGCACTTAAGAGAATAATGTGGGTCTTTAAATCTACTAAAAAATATACAGTTACACACACTAACCATGCAAAATTATAAATGTGATTCTCAATCACACTTATTGCTTATTTTAATGAAAATCTCTGGCCTATTTGCATTTAACTGTTTGGCAGGATACAAAGTAATTACTTTATTGTATTGTAAACATCTACAATAAGTCAAAACTTAAATATAGAGAAGCATCTTCAACATTTTAAATGTGATTAAATAGAGCACTTTGATTCAGGTTTGTGCCTTCTATTGAAAAACCTATATTATTCAGGAAAGATTCAAATCAAGAACTTTCATTCAAGTATGTGATTAATAGGTGTGCGGCTTGCGGTTTTTTCAAAAGTTTGTGATCCTTGTTAGCTTTATTTTTACTAGTTGTTCTGCCCGTGTCTTGCCACGGGAAGAGAACACAGTGAACATATGGTGATTCTTCACCGCTTTGTCCAATATAAACTGCTAGTTGATGAAGCGCTTCTTCTTGATGTAAATTAACTTTATCAATGTCCAATGTCACAAAGTATAAATAATCTAAAGATGCGTTTTTCCCCAGTTGGAACACATAAGGCTCCGTACAAACTCTGTGTTTCTTGTGTCACTTACCTTTATATACACAAACAACATTTGTCTGCAAAATTAATTGCTGTTTTTTTTTTTTTTTTAATCTTATCTTACTATAATATTATAAATGTGAAAGTTTGTGTGTTTGTTTGTTTGTTTGTTTGTTTGTTTGAAGTTCAATCACGCTTTAACTACTGGACGGATTGGGCTGAAATTTGGCATGATGATAGTTCACACTCCCGATTAACATATAGGCATATTCTTATCTCAAAAACCCTTTCGGGCTCCACCCCAGTGGCTCTGTAACTCCCCATGTTAACCTTATGAGTATTCATATTTAAAGGGAACTAGTTAACCGCCCGTGCTCCGCCACGGGAATATTGTCAGTAATAAAAGATATAATAATTAACAAATACTGTTTATCTTTGTATTTTATTTAGGGGCTGCTTAATTTTTTTACATGAAGTAGAACGGATAGTTGGTCTGTATAAACTATTTATGTTGTTAATCAAACCCATATATTAGTTTAACCAAATGAATGTTTTAAATTAATTCGAGCTACATTTGAAAATTAAATAGTGTATAAACTGCGCAATGCTGATAACCTAATAAGCTACTTATGCTATGGAGATAGTTTTTTCATGTATATTCCTAAATTTGTTGTTTTCTTGTTCATTACATTCGTTGTGTGGAATAAAGATAGTCACTTAAATCAGCAGTTGGTCGCATTTTACGGATCTTTGACCCATTCTGTGAATAACAGCTGTGTTTACATCGCAGGACACTTTCGCAGGAAAACTAACACATTATTCGAAAATAGAAAATTGACACTAAAAATACAAATAATGTTCAAATACATTTACAAATAATACATCGTGATATACAACTTTAACAAATACACTTTTCCTTGAAAACTCAATCAACACATTCCTTCAGAAACACTTTCAGCAACATTTTTGCAGGAAAACTAACACATTATTCGAAAATACAAAATTGACACTAAAAAATACAAATAATGTTCATATACATTTACAAATAATACATTGTGGATACAACTTTAACAAATTCACTTTTCCTTGTTTGAAATCGTGTGTACAGGAACTCCTAGATTAATAATTACATACTGAAAGTAAGGTTATAAAAATAATAACAAATCTAACAAACATTAAACAGCTGTAAATTATATTCTTCAATAAGAATTGTACTGACTCAACCTTTGAAAGGCTGTAGGTCTTAACCCTTAGAAAAAACGTGAATTCTAATGAAGTTCGGCAAATCTATGCATTATCCCCTTTAATTTGACACATAGATCTTGTGGATCGGTCCTGTAATTACTGAGAAAACAGTGTTACAACTGTGTATTAAATATATAGATTAAAGAATTTAGTCAGCTGTTTCAACTATAAAAGTTGGTTCTACGATATGCAAAAGCTAAAAAGTTATAAGATTTACCAACAGGCTGCAGCACTATTATTTTTTTGCATTTATGATAAAAGTTAATTTCAACTGTGATACGCAATGAGAACTGTCAAAGTAGGATTTTTTACAGTTATGTTTATGTTTTTAATTTCATGAATAACCTGTGATATTTTGCGAATTTTTAATAATTTATTTTTCTCTATTGTTTAGGTGAAGTGGTAGAACATTATGGCTATGGTAGATATGTAATACTGTAGTATCCCGTAAAATTAAAAAAAGCAAATTTCATCAAACTGTTTTTTCCCCCATTGCAAACGCACAGCTTGAGTAAAACTGCAATAAGCATAATATACTTATATGAAAACCCCGTACGAAGGACGGGTACTCTGCTAGTACATAATATAACTAATATTAGTCTCTGTAATAGTAGGCTAATAGTTCAAATTTAATTTACCTTCCTGCCTGAGTGTCACTTTTTCTCCCTCAAGTTTTGTTTCTCCATATAAATTGAGAGGGTTTGGAATGTCACTTATTTTGTATGGTGCGTTTTTGTTTCCATCAAAAACATAGTCTGTACTGATGTATATAACAGGAATATTATGTTTAGCTGAAAACATTGACATTACTTTAATGAACAATATTCATACCCTAGGTTACACGATACAAATGATGTTTAAAAGCTTTACATCACAATGATAATCTTACTAATATTATAAACTAGCTGTTTGCCCGTTCTACGTACGGGAATCTTGTAGTAAGTTGAAACCTTATATTCAGAACAGGAGTTGGTTTGCATATTTAGTGTGCATTTTTCCAGATATGCTGGTTAAACTATTACTGTATAGGAATACATAATAAACCTTCGCAAACACAATATCTGACAGTTTCAAAGCCAAAACGAATGCTTCGCAATTAAGTGTCAACCGATCATGTTAGTCCATATTTTATATCTAATGACAAAAGGAACTGCTTTATAGATCTATGAGGCATAGCCCTTACGGAGGCCTGTAATTGAAAGTTACTTTTCACACTGGTTAAAAGTAGTAAAAATACTACCTCAACCTCACTACTGCACACTTTATTCGGGTTGAAATTTGCATTAACAAAGGTGCTCTTTTTTCACGAAACACTGAGAAATAAGGACATTAATGCGTTACCAACAGGCTTACACACACAAATACAGAAATGAATTAGGGGATTTACTACGCTTTAACCAAAGCAAATTACAATTATTTGAAAGTTTTGATAGTGTCATCAAATTTTATAATAATCGTTTTTAGGCCTAATCAAACTGTAAAATTGGTGTAAATCTGTTGGCAAATATATAAATAATTAAATAAATACACAGCCCACAAAACATTTATACGTTAACAACGCCAAGCTTTAAAAATTCATGATGGTTTGCTAAATAAATCGTTCACTAATGTATTATAATTTTCATAGCATAAAGTAACATTTTGGAGTCCAGACAGAAAACGCAATAAAATTATACAGTAAGACATCAATTAAATTTAATAAGAAATAAGGTACAGCACTAACGATAACTATAGTTGTAAATAGTGATGTGTTTGTAAAACTACAAACATCCAAAACCCCAGATTTGTGCGTTTTTTGTCACATTTCCTCCGAATGTTTGCTAGATATGTGTACCGATTATAGTTTAGAGATTACGTAATCTTTTAAAAAAGAAACCTTTGTTTGGATAAAGGTGGTTTCTTCAAACTGTCATTAATATGTTAACATTAAAAGTTGCTTACAATTAAATGGGAAATAACTATAATTTTCGAAAACTTAAAAAATGTAAAACCAAGGGAGATTAATAGCTTCGGTACTGCACCACATCAAGTGAATGTTTTTTTTTAGCAAACCATAGTGAGTTTTTAAAGCTTTACGTTGTTAACGTTACATGTTTTGTGGCCTGTGTATTTATTTATTTACATATTTTCCAACGAATTACCACCTATAATACAATTTGATTAGAAGGACAGTTTGAATTGGTCGTAATCGTAAGTACTATAGTTCTTTTCTTAAATGTAAACGTTGGTTTTTGGTACTGCTACTTTTCCTTAGAACTGGTGGTAGCAGCAAGAATAATTTTTACGTTTTACTTCCTAAGTAGAAAAAGTACCGATGTCGTTGTCGAAATGTAAGTACCGGTAACTAGAAACCGAAAGTGACACATTGGAAAAAGCGAGTTGCGATTTTAGCTACATCTGTAAGTTAAACATATGTTACGATCACAGTGAAATTAGAAAGATCTTCCAAGATCACAGCAACATCCAAGATCACCCACTGCAGTTGATTTTTTACTTTGCACTTTACACAACTGTCTTTGTTACGCCGTCATTGAATGGAAACCTTTTTTTAAACTATTGGTGTCGATGATTAAAAAAATGCAAGTTTCCCAGCACTGATTCACAACACTGATTCTCAGTATTTTCCCTGGTTATAAAAACTCAAGAACAATCGTTGCACTTGCGATTAATTAAACCGGTTAAGTAAGGCACAACGGTTTTAATCTAACTTGGTTTGGATGTGCTAACAAAACTTTATCGGAAATGGTTGCGGTATTTGTAAACAGTATTTATTGTAAACATATCAGTGACAGCTAGAAATGAGAACTAATCCAAACAGCTGATCGTTATTTCATAAAATGTAATAGTAAACATTGGGGGAAAATTTGACAAAAATCGAACAAAATTGGGTTTTTGATGGTTTGTTATATTTTTTCAAAAGTAGTTAGGCCATATTTTAATAGCCAAAGACACTCTCGCCAATCCAGTGAATACAGAAAAATAATTGGAATCTTGATCTGTACTCTAGTTTTCAAGGAGTAGGCCGCGTAAAATGACATTTTGGCGTTACAGACGAAGTCACAGAATGGACAAACAGACAGACATACAGACAGAAATTGAGATAAGATTCGTTTCGGCTTTCTTAGGCTATGAAACGTAAAAATAACCAAAAACTGCATGATTCTAAGCAATGTACAGACAAAACTGTAATTTTATTTATATAGATGTGAAAGTTTGTGTGTTTGTTTAAGTTCAATCACACATTAATTGCTGGATGGATTGGGCTCAAATTTGGCATGATGATAGCTCACATTCCCGATTAACATATAGGCATATTTTTATCTCAAAAATCCTTTCAGGCTCTGCCCCAGTGGCTCTAGAGTTTCCCATGTTGACCTTATGAGTACTCATATTTAAATGGAATTAAAGAATTTAGTCAGCTGTTTCAACTAAAAAGGTTGGTTCTATGATATGCAAAGGCATTACAAATTTTAAGATTTACCAACAGGATGCAGCACTATTATTTTTTTTTCATTTATGAAAACAGCTAATTTGAACTAAGCAGCAACAAAAAACTGCGATACACAATAAGAACTGTCTGTTTACAGTTATGTTTATGCTTTTAATTTCACGAATAATTTGTGATATTTTATGAATCTTTAATAATTAATTTTTGTCTATTGTTTGGGTGAAGTGGTAGAACATTATGGCTATGGTAGATGTGTAATACTATAGTATACCGTAAATTTAAAGAAGAACATTTTATCATACTTTGTCCTCCCTCATTGCAAACGCTAAGTTTGAGTAGCCTATAACTGTACTAAGCATTTTATACTTATATGCCACTCCCGTACGAAGAACGGGGTACTCTGCTAGTTATATATAATTTCAGACTAGGCTTTTCTGTAACCCAATGAAACACTGTTGATCCACTTATCTTTCCTTTATCCTGGTCAGGGAACCGCTGAGCAGCAGCATAAATCACAACATCTGGCTTACTCTCTGTAATAGCCTTCTCTACATATTACCTGCAGCCTGAACGACATGTGAAGTAGCCTGAACATTGAGCTGTCTAGCTGCCTCAGGGTCAGCATCTACCTTGTCTGGGAACCGCTGAGCAGCAGCATGAATCACAACATCTGACTTACTCTCTGTAATAGCCTTCTCTACATATTACCTGCAGCCTGAACGACATGTGAAGTAGCCTGAACATTGAGCTGTCTAGCTGCCTCAGGGTCAGCATCTACCTTGTCTGGGAACCGCTGAGCAGCAGCATGAATCACAACATCTGGCTTACTCTCTGTAATAGCCTTCTCTACATATTACCTGCAGCCTGAACGACATGTGAAGTAGCCTGAACATTGAGCTGTCTAGCTGCCTCAGGGTCAGCATCTACCTTGTCTGGGAACCGCTGAGCAGCAGCACGAATCACTACATCTGGCTTACTCTCTGTAATAGCCTTCTCTACATATTACCTGCAGCCTGAACGACATGTGAAGTAGCCTGAACATTGAGCTGTCTAGCTGCCTCAGGGTCAGCATCTACCTTGTCTGGGAACCGCTGAGCAGCAGCATGAATCACTACATCTGACTTACTCTCTGTAATAGCCTTCTCTACATATTACCTGCAGCCTAAACGACATGTGAAGTAGCCTGAACATTGAGCTGTCTAGCTGCCTCAGGGTCAGCATCTACCTTGTCTGGGAACCGCTGAGCAGCAGCACGAATCACTACATCTGGCTTACTCTCTGTAATAGCCTTCTCTACATATTACCTGCAGCCTAAACGACATGTGAAGTAGCCTGAACATTGAGCTGTCTAGCTGCCTCAGGGTCAGCATCTACCTTGTCTGGGAACCGCTGAGCAGCAGCATGAATCACAACATCTGACTTACTCTCTGTAATAGCCTTCTCTACATACAGGGTGATTTGTACTCAGTGTGACAAAATTTTTTGGTTGTAAGTACAAAGTAAATGAAGTGTGATGATGCATATCAAATGTTCCAAGTCTAAAAATTAGCTTCACAAAAAATTATTTTATGTTTTTCAAAAATAACCATGTTTTTAAACTTAATACAGCGATTTCTCAATTGCCTGTTAATGGATTTGAGTAAATAATGTAATTTTCGTGTTCTACATTAAGTTTTGAACAAGAATAATAGAAAATGACGGAGGATCAGTTGTAAAATCTCCATTGTAAATAGATTCAAAGATAAAAATTAAGATGTTAAAAACAATGGTCTATTGCATTTTTCACACCCTGTATACAAGAAAGTGTCGGAATATGTTAAAAACTGCGCCATTTTATAAGCTTTCCAACGATATGCTACACTATTGAGGTTTATGTCTGCTTATGTACGCTTTAATGGTTTGAAGACTACAAAGCATGGTGTCTTTAACATTTAAAACATAGAAAGTCGGCATGTATTAAGCAAAAGTTGTATTTTTGAGTCAGCTTGAACAGTAAAAACAGTAAAAAAGTTCCCTGTTTTCTGGTATTCAAACCACTAAAACAAACAAAAAAATCTCTAAATCTCGATAATGTAGCATATGGTTGGAAAGCTTATAAAATGGCGCAGTTTTTAACATATTCCGACACTTTCTTGTATACAGGGTGTGAAAAATGCAATGGACCATTGTTTTTAAAAATTTTATCAAATATCTTAATTTTTATATTTGAATCTATTTACAATGGAGTTTTTACAACTGATCTTCAGTCATTTTCCATTATACTTTTTCAAAATTTAATGTAGAACACGAAAATGACATTATCTACTCAAATCCATATACAAGTAATTGAGAAACTGCTGTATTAAGTTTAAAAGCATGGTTATTTTTGAAAAACATAAAATAATTTTTTGGGACGCTAATTTTGAGACTTGGAACATTTGATATGCATCATCACACTTCATTTACTTTGTACTTAGCCTACATCAAAAAAATTTTGTCACACTGAGTACAAATCACCCTGTATTACCTGCAGCCTGAATGGCATGTGAAGTAGCCTGAACATTGAGCTGTCTAGCTGCCTCAGGGTCAGCATCTACCTTGTCTGGGAACCGCTGAGCAGCAGCATGAATCACTACATCTGGCTTACACTCTGTAATAGCCTTCTCTACATATTACCTGCAGCCTAAACGACATGTGAAGTAGCCTGAACATTGAGCTGTCTAGCTGCCTCAGGGTCAGCATCTACCTTGTCTGGGAACCGCTGAGCAGCAGCACGAATCACTACATCTGGCTTACACTCTGTAATAGCCTTCTCTACATATTACCTGCAGCCTGAACGACATGTGAAGTAGCCTGAACATTGAGCTGTCTAGCTGCCTCAGGGTCAGCATCTACCTTGTCTGGGAACCGCTGAGCAGCAGCATGAATCACTACATCTGGCTTACACTCTGTAATAGCCTTCTCTACATATTACCTGCAGCCTAAACGACATGTGAAGTAGCCTGAACATTGAGCTGTCTAGCTGCCTCAGGGTCAGCATCTACCTTGTCTGGGAACCGCTGAGCAGCAGCACGAATCACTACATCTGGCTTACACTCTGTAATAGCCTTCTCTACATATTACCTGCAGCCTGAACGACATGTGAAGTAGCCTGAACATTGAGCTGTCTAGCTGCCTCAGGGTCAGCATCTACCTTGTCTGGGAACCGCTGAGCAGCAGCACGAATCACTACATCTGGTTTACTCTCTGTAATAGCCTTCTCTACATATTACCTGCAGCCTGAACGACATGTGAAGTAGCCTGAACATTGAGCTGTCTAGCTGCCTCAGGGTCAGCATCTACCTTGTCTGGGAACCGCTGAGCAGCAGCATGAATCACTACATCTGGCTTACACTCTGTAATAGCCTTCTCTACATATTACCTGCAGCCTAAACGACATGTGAAGTAGCCTGAACATTGAGCTGTCTAGCTGCCTCAGGGTCAGCATCTACCTTGTCTGGGAACCGCTGAGCAGCAGCACGAATCACTACATCTGGCTTGTACACTCTGTAATAGCCTTCTCTACATATTACCTGCAGCCTGAACGACATGTGAAGTAGCCTGAACATTGAGCTGTCTAGCTGCCTCAGGGTCAGCATCTACCTTGTCTGGGAACTGCTGAGCAGCAGCATGAATCACTACATCTGGTTTACTCTCTGTAATAGCCTTCTCTACATATTACCTGCAGCCTGAACGACATGTGAAGTAGCCTGAACATTGAGCTGTCTAGCTGCCTCAGGGTCAGCATCTACCTTGTCTGGGAACCGCTGAGCAGCAGCACGAATCACAACATCTGGCTTACTCTCTGTAATAGCCTTCTCTACATATTACCTGCAGCCTGAACGACATGTGAAGTAGCCTGAACATTGAGCTGTCTAGCTGCCTCAGGGTCAGCATCTACCTTGTCTGGGAACCGCTGAGCAGCAGCATGAATCACTACATCTGGTTTACTCTCTGTAATAGCCTTCTCTACATCTGCTTGACTCATCAGATCCAACTTGTGAACTGTTTCACTCAACCTGTACACACCAAATAAGTCAAAATTAGATAAGTTCTTTCCAGGATTTGGATAGTTCCTACAAAGAACATGTAAAATAATGCCACTGGTATGAATACCTTGGCCATTATTTTGTTATGTATCTATAGTCCAAGCAAACTAAACAAACTTACATAGGGATTGTTAAAAAAATTGCAAGAAAATGTTTTATGGTTTTTATTTTGTAGAGTTGGGTTTGCAGAATGACATAATAAAAGTTGCCAAAAATCGGTGTACGAGAAAACCACTAAAATCACAATTTAAAATGGCGGCTTTTTCCAACATTGGACAAATTAAAAAAAACATATTTCACATGCATTTGTTATGCACATTTTTCGAGATATTGACTTGGGACCACCGCCTGTATTTATTGGGTGGTTAGTACTTCATTTTGATAGGGAACACGTTTTTGGCCGCCATCTTGGATCCGCCATATTGGACATGGATAATTTTTTTTCAATGTAATGATAGTGTTGTGACACATCATTACCAACTACATTTTTACACTGATTTCAATGCCGAAATCCGTTTTTAAATATCTTTATTCATTTAGAAGATATATTAAAACGAAAACTCTCCACCATACATTTCTTATGGACGTTTCGTAGTTTGATCATTGTTTTAAAACTATTTTTCTTATATCTCCAGTTCTTATTGACGCTTGTAGTTCGTTCTAGGCTTAAAATATTCAGTAATGTAAGGGCTTTCATTTGAGCTCTTGATCATTAAAATCAGACGAGTTAAAGACCAGCTACGAACCTCAGAACAATATTAAATTTAACTTTAGAAATATATTTTTATTAAAAGATTTATAACTCAGGTTGTTAATACGTCACCAAGTTCTTTCTGGTCTCAAATTACTCAGTGAATGTTTAGCTTTGATTTGATTAATCACTAAACAAAATCTGACAATTTTAAAATGAGTCATGGTTCTTAATTTAACATTAAAATGTATTTATTTTGAAATTTGTCTTTAGTTAAGGACATTATGCCTAAGTGGCTAGCATTTTCACTTTTACAGTTAGGTTACCTACCTAGTTAGAGCAACTCCATATACAACCCAGCCTTCTTGCTCAAATCTTGCTTTTATTGCTCTGCCAAGCAACCCAGAAGCTCCAGTAAGAAAGACTTTAGTTTTTGGTTTAGAATTCATTTTGGTTGACTTAGTTTGTTGACCTATAACTTAATATGGCTGGTACCTAAAAAAATGTTATCAAAATTAAAGTCAGCTTTAAAACTATTGGCGGTAGGCTATTTGTTTACTTTAGGGGGGGACTGCCTAAAACGCTGACAGACTGACTGACAATGGTATTACTCCATAAGACACATAAACGATGCCACAGAGTGCCACAAACGACGTACACTATTGAAATTTGAAATATGTGTAATGGGTGGAGATATTGATCTTCTGTATAGGCATATCAATACTATATATTAACCAGAAGTTCTTAAAAATGAATTTAAGATTATTCATAAAAAGAGTGCCACAGGTTGTCACAAACGACCTAAAGCATTGAAATTTAAAACATGTGTTAGGAGAGAACTTATTTATCTTCTATAAATATCTGAACAGTGTATCTTAACCGGAAGTTCTTAAAAACGAACCTAAGAACTATTTATAAAAAGAGTGCCACAGACTGCCACAAACCACTTACAGTATTGAAATTTAAAACATGTGTTAGGGGGGTACATATTTATCTTCTACATGAATTTGAACAGTGTACATTAACCGGAAGTTCTTAAAAACGCAGTATTGAATTTCAATACTGTAAGGCGTTTGTGGCAGTCTGTGGCACTCTTTTTATAAATAGTTCTTAGGTGCGTTTTTAAGAACTTCCGGCCAAGATACACTGTTTAGATTTATATAGGAGATAAATATGTACCCTCTTAACACATGTTTTGAATTTCAAAACTGTAAGTCGTTTGTGGCAACATGTGGCACTCTTTTCATTAATAGTTCTTAAATAAATTTTTAAGAACTTCCAATTAATATATCCTATTGAAATGCATACACCTTATAAATAATTGTATTCCCAACACATATTTCAAATTTAAATGGTGTAGGTCGTTTGTGGCATCGTTTATGTGTCTTATGGAGTTATAACATTGTCAGTCAGTCTGTCAGCGTTTTAGACACTCCCCTTTAGGGGTTCTAAAGAATTTTGAAAAAAATATTTTTTCCTATTAGGCCTATTTGGCTTATTTTGAAAACTTTTTCCCTTTTTTGCACTTTTGGGGCAAACAACTATTTAACCCTGAAAAATCGCAAAACGGTCTGAACTATTTACAATTACCGGACGGGTATTCTTTGCCTTAGGCCCTAATAAAAAAACCAATAAAAAAGAGAAAAAAAAAACGCTACCTAATTGCCATTTTCAAACGCGATTTTCAGGGTAAAATAGGCGTTTCCCCAAAAGTGCCAACGGGAAAGTGTTCAAATTAGGCCAAATAATAAGTGAAAAAATATTGTTCCCTACATTTGTTAGAATTAGGTAGAGGTTACTAGCAAATTTTAAAAAAATTCTCACTATTTTGTTTATTTTGAGCACTTTTTCCCTTTTGGCACTTTTGGGGGAAATGCCTAACTTATTTGATCCTGAAAATCGTAAAAAGTGCTAAACTTAAAAATTGGAGTTTTTCTTCTTTAGTTTTTTTTTTTTATTATTTAAGTAGGGGGGCTTTCTGTATCTGTTGTCAAAAACAATCGAATAAAAGTATCCACTAGGCTATTTTGTTTTATTTGATATGTTCGATAATGTTCATTCAATATGTTCGATAATGTTCATTCGATATATCTTTTGGTTGGTCAGGTTAACCTAACCTAACTTACCAAACGATAGGCTATCGAACAATCAATTCATTCGGTTGTTTATGACAACAGATACGGAAGTCTACCCCAATTTAAACACTTTTTCCCTCTGGCACTTTTTCAGCAAGAGCCATTTTACCAGGTTTATCAGGTTTGAAAGAAATTGCCTGTTTTGAGTAGCCTAAGTTACCTAAGCAAATATATAACTTAATCCATGGAACCTAACTTTATCTAATCTAACCTAATCCGACCTAACCCATGCTTGTTAGCAAAATCCAGAAAATTACTGATTTTTTGTTAATTTAAAGTTAGGTTAGGTATGTTAGGTTTAGTTATGTTGGGTTAGGTAAGGCTAGTTACAGTAGACTCCCTCTTATCCGGACACCTTTTAACCGGACATCGGTTTAACTAGACTACACTCGGCGGAAATGACATCGCTTTAACCGGACAATTTTTATCAGCACATTGGTTTAACCGGACTAGATTGGCACGAAGTGGGCAGTACTGAAACGTCTGTTCTCGTGGGAAATATTTGAGACCAGTGATCACGTGTCTAAATACAATGCTCTCCTAGATTTAAGTCGAATATCACAGTAAAAAGTCCGTTTTAACGAGTTTTTGGGGACGTTGGTTTAACCGGAAAACCCGGTACCCGGACTGGTATCAGTCCCGAGGAGTCTGGATAAGAGGGAGTCTACTGTATAAATAAATTGCAGAGGATACGCATCCATTAATTGAACATGGATTAGGCGTTCGGCAGTGACGTCACCAGGTTGTGCGGCCGGAACACCATTACCACAACGATACGATGTACAGCCATCGGTGTTCGTTGTGTATCTTAACTTAGTGGATAAGTAGAGTAACTTACTCACAGGGGAGTACTCGACTGATGTACAAAAAGTAACTTAGCCTAGGCCTATCTAGATCGAATCCCATGGGTGGGACACTAAATTTTTGTCAAAGATCTTGTTTAGAATGCCTATTATTCTTAACTGTATCTTTTGATTGAATTTGAAGCATTTGATTTTTTGAACTTCGTTCGATTTTTTTCATTAGCAGGAAATTTGGATAGTTAGGCTAGATTAGGTTATGACAGCTTAACTGCCAGACGTCTAATCCACGTCCGATTACCGAGGTGAAATACCTAGCCTAGGCGTTTGCCGCAAAAGGGGTACAGTTTCTTAACTGGGCTATGCTAATATTGATTGAAACTATCGAATTGGAAATATTGATTAAACTTAATAATCGATATTTTTAAATATAACTTAAGTTACCCTAAGTTATCTCTTATAGGCAAATATTTACTGTAGGCCTAACTTATTTACATTGGGATATGATGTAATTTTTATAGGCCTATGTCTACTTACAGTATTTGGCTGCACTTTACTTGACGTCCTACACTCATTCGAATGAAAATATCGATCGATATATCGATTAATCGAATGAAACAATCGAATGAAAATATCGAATCGAAAAAAACAATCAAATGAGTGTAGGACGTCAAGTAAAGTGCAGCCCAGTATTTTTAACGCTGAATCCAAAAATGCAATCAGTTTTTGTCAGAGAGATTTTCTAAGTTGCCATAGTGGCCGTAAAACAAAGGTTAGGATTACGAATCTAAGGATAATTAAGCGGTATTGAATGAAGGTAATGGTAATATGGTGTGGTCTGGACTATATAGGTCCATACTGAGCGAGGAGTGAGGAGGACTGAGTGAGAAGAGCAAAAAAAACTGTTTATACTTGATCTAATGCAGAATGAAATCAAATCAATTCGTTTTGATTTTTGAAACCAAATAGGCCTAATCAGTTCTTATTTAGGCATGTGAGGAAGGTAGGTCGGGTTCTATGCGGATTCATGACTGTATTGTGTTTTGAAGTGAGGTTAGATTAGGAAGGTAAAGGTTAGGTTATAATGAACCGACTCATTAATTTATGCAACTTCCAGACTGTTTTTGCACAATTAAATAGTGGGTGAAACACAATGAAATAACGATAGCCTATCAAAAATGCGCAAGCACTATCATAACCTAACTTAACCAACCAAACTTGCTGATGGTGAAAACATCGCATGAAGGTTTACTAATCGAATCTAGCATAGCCCAGTTAAGAAACTGTACCCCGCAAAAGTGCCAATAAAAAGTCCAAATTATGTAGACCAAATAATGGGAAAAAAATATTTTTATTAAAATTTGTTAGAAGCTTCTAAAGCAAACAAATACCAAAAATAAATTATTTCAAACGCAACTTACCTTTAAATTGGGTACGGGCTCTAACACATTAGTTAAGGATTTATTAGGCCTATGTTACACTCAAGAAGTTAAAATCAAAGTTCATATAACTTATAGTGACCCTTGTATTGACATTGAGTATATACACGCAATTGGAGTTGGACTATTGCTCAGTGCTCACTTTTTTTGTGATTCTCAATTCTCAATACTCATTCTCAATTCAAGATGATAACTTATACTACACAAACAACACGAAACGAATGACAATAACGAACGAAACCAAACAAAAACCAAAAACAACTAATAACAATAACAATAACTAAACAAGAGACAACAGAAGAAGAAGAACAACAACGTCAACAAATCAAATTCATTAAACAAACCTTTTTCCCCTCGTTTGCTGGTTAGCATGTAAAGCTTTGCTAACATGCTGTGTAACTTCGTTGTGCAGTGCAATATTTATTTCAGTTGCTGATCCGGTTTGAAAGTCATTTAAACCGTACACAGCTTTTTATCATAGAGATAACACCAAAACATACTCCCTTATTAGTAGATTTATCATCCCTATGGATCAGCTGAAGGCAAGTTAGTTCCGTCGGGTGAACTGAAGAGTTCGTGTTTTGTTTACAATTTGTCCTCGTTTAACCAAATAAAACGATCCAATTATATTACGACTCGTATCCTAGTTATATAACTAAGCAGTAAAACACAAATCATTAAATTAACCATAAAATAATAGAAACAGAATTTTGTCGACACTTGACTTTAGCCATCAGTGTCATGGGAACTAGTATATACAAAAAACGAACTTCCAAATTTACAATCGGGGGAGAAGTGTACATTTGCTTAGTAAGGCCACTTCCAGGCCACGGCCCTCAAAATGGCAACGTTGCAAGTAGTGTTGTAACAGCTGTTTTGATTGGAGGCAGCTAATGGTATTTGTGTATGTTTTAAGAATCATAGAGGATACGCGTCCGGTAACCGGACGTGGATAAGGCGTACGGCAATGACGTCATGGGGTTGCGGGAGCCTGGAACGCCTTTACCACAACAATACAATGAACAGCCATCGGTGTTCGTGGTGTAGTGGATAAGGTGCTCGGCTGATATGCAAGAGGTCCAGAGTTCGAATCCCATTGATGACTTTAACTTTTTGTCGAAGAGTTTGCATTGAATACCATTTATTCTCAACTGTACATCTTTTATTAGAATTTTTGGCATTTATAATTTTTTTTATAGAGAAAGAATTTCACCTTAATTCGATTTTTTCACTATCAGCAAGTTTGGTTGGTTAGGTTAGGTTATGACAGTAATTGCCGGACGTCTAATCCACGTCCGGTTACCGGACGCGTATCCTCTGCCTTTAAGAATACGAAAGCTTGGTTACTGGACTATGAAAATATTTACACCAATTTTTAAATTTTTAGAAATAGCTAGATTTTCAATTTATATTGTTTTGATTTTCAATTCTATGTTTTATTTTCAATCTTTTAATAAATTAATGTATATAAATATAAATTTAAATGAATAATTCAATAATTAATGAGCTGTTGTCACCTCTGCCTGCCATGTTATCTTATGGGACGTCTTGGCGCTAAACAACACTACTTGTAACGTTGCCAATTCTACCCGGCCACGGCCTGGAGTTAAAGTTGGCCGTATTAATAGCATATGCTTTATTTAATTCGCTTGAACTTGTTAGCGAATTTGCCACAAACGGAACAAGCAATAATTACCGTAGCAATCATGTTTAGTGCAGTAAAAATAAGAAAAAATTCCTTAGCATGAAAAAATTTAGCAAAAACGGGGAATTTGGTACAAATGTTGGGTGTCCCCAGAGAGCACAGAATAGAAACCTTCCTTTTCAACATACTGAAAGTCCCCTAAGATTGAAGCTGTGCTACAGCCGCTAAATTGAAAAATGGTAGCATATTTCTGTATTTTTGGCTATAGCGACTTTATTATTAGAGATACTTGAAAAATCTAAGAATACAAAATGTAGTTCATCTAAAAATACACAATTTTTGTATTTATCATTTTTCTCTAAACCCAACGATTTTTGAGTTATTTTTGATTAAGTATATTTAATTTTTCTATTTTTCAAAAATAGACGAAAAAATACCCCCGCCGCAGCAAACCTGCCGACTAAGCGAATTTCCATTTGTCTGAATTGATTTTCAGTTAAATATATTTTAATAACATTAGGTTTAACGAGTACCTAGGTTTGCTGCTACAAGGAAACTAATAAAGTGTGTTTTTGAGTAAAATATTGATAGCTTAGTACAAAATAAATAAATTTGCCAAGTTTGATAAAAATATATCCATAAACAAGCAAACTACAACATTTAACAATATTCTCCATAAGAATAACATGGGAATTTTTAATTTACAATTTTTTAAATTTTCTCCGTTACTAATAATAATTGTAAAAAATACTTTTATATACTAAATTATTTGTTTTTTTTAAGCTCTTTTAGAAGGTCTAAAGAGAAATCGGGAAATTTTGTGTTTTGAGGGTCAAAAGTGAGAAAACCCAATTTTTACCCCATAAAACCCCCCGTAAAGCCCCGTTCCCATGGTCCGATCGTGCTGGTTCGCGAACTCATTCAAGTTTATCCCGCTTTACACCTTTAAACCAAGTTTCATCAAAATCGGACAAAAATTACTCAAGTTATCGCGTTCACGGACGTATATATATATATATAAGTCTATATATATATATATATATATATATATATATATACACATATATAAAAATTTGAACGAATGGTGTTTTTGGCCTCTGGGGACATCAAAATGAAAAAGTAAATCGGTCCCGGGTCTAGGTCTTACCGTGCCACCTACGGTAATAGCTACTTCCCTATAGGGAAATTCGCTAAAACATGGAAATTGACGGTTTAAAGAGCAAAACAACTCCGCCACAGCAAATCTGCAGACTTAAGGGAATTTCCATTTGATTGGATGTTTTATTAAGTGTATATGATTAAAATTAGGCTTAACAATATCCTAGGTTTGATGCTACAGGGGGGGGGGTATTTTAGTGTGTTTTCATAGTAAAATATCAATAGCTTAGTATAAAAAAAAACATATTTTTCAGGTTTGATCAAAATAAATCTAAAAACAAGCAAACTACAACAGTTTACTTATTCATAAGAATAGCATGGGAGTTTTAAATTTACAATTTAAAATTGTGGTTGAGTTTAACAAAAGGATGGCGATTATTCGTCATGATTCGAATACTAACCGAAGGGGTTTTCAAAAGGAAACGGAGCAAGTTATTTAAGTGATATTAACTCGTACCAAAGTACCGGAAATATAGTATGTGGTGAGGTAATCAACCATATTTTGGAACTTTTAGTACGCAACAGTCATATTAATATTTTATCCTCATTTGTACCCATTTCCATTAAATAAAGTAACATTTTAATATTTTGATGACACTACTACACTAACTAACACAAGCAGACTTGACATCCCATTGCAAGTTTGGAAGGTCGTTTTTCGTGTCTAGTTCATGTTGGTGACACTGAACGCTAGTGACGAAGAGTTTCTATTATTTTAGGGACAATTTTGTGATTTGTACTGTACTGTTTGGTTATAGAACTAGGGTAAGCACGATTAGATCGCTTTATTTGGTTTAATGAGGTTTTCTATGACTGAAATAACTAGAAACAATTTGTAAACAAAGCACGACCTGCGACCTCTACAGCCCACCGGACGGAACTAACAACAAAATACTTTGGCTGATCTATAGGGATAAAAAATCTATGGGAGAACGTTTTGTCCATGATATCACTCACTCGGTTTAACTGAGTGGGATGAATAAATTGTCGTAAACCTTGAAAGTAACCGTTGATGTCGATGGTCAGCACAACCAACATACATACATATTTATTGTACATAATGTAACATAATGAATATTTAAATTTGTAAATTGTAAATTTAAAACTCCCATGTTATTCTTATGAATTAGTTAACCGTTGTAGTTTGCGTGTTTATAGATTTATTTTGATCAAACCTGGAAAATTTGTTTATTTTATACTAAGTTATTGACATTTTACTAAAAAAACGCACTATACTACCCTCCCTGTAGCAGCAAACCTAGGTACGTGTTAAACCTAATGTTATTTATATACATGTAATAAAACATCCAATCAAATGGAAATTCCCTTAGTCTGCAGGTTTGCTGTGGCGGAGTTGTTTTGCTCAATAAATAAAATATAATTTTAAGAAATTATAGTATCACACTATTTAACTAAATGGGATGAATTATCGTAAGCCTTGAAAGTAACCGTCAATTTCCATGTTTTTCGTCTATTTTTGAAAATAGAAAAATTAAATATACTTAATCAAAAATAACTCAAAAATCGTTGGGTTTAGAGAAAAATGATAAACACAAAAAATGTGTATTTTTAGATGGACTACATTTTGTAAACCTAGCTTTTTCCTGTATCTCTAATAATAAAGTCGCTATAGCCAAAAATACAGAAATATGCCACCATTTTCCAATATGGCGGCCGTAGCACAGCTTCAATTTTAGGGGACTTTTAGTATGTTCAAAAGGAAGGTACACCCAACATTTGTATCAAATTCCTTGGTTGTGCTAATTTTTTGGGGTCAAAACATAATTTTATTGTACTAGTTGTGACCTAGACGTGCCTAGACCCGGGACAGATTTATTTTTTTCGTTTTGAGGTCTCCAGAGGCTAAAAACACCACCCATTCAAATTCATATACTAACACCCATACATATATCCATCAGCACAAGAACTGGAGTAAAGATTATTCAATTTTGATGAATTTTTGGTACAATAAACGTATAAACCTACGTTTATTCGTACGAGTTGGCGAACCAGCACTAGAGGTCCCTGGGAAAATGGGGCTTATGGTTGAACGAAAAATGGTGTTCCCCCATTAATTCGACCCTCAAAATATAAAATATGTGAATTCTTCCCAAGCCATTTTGTAAACAAATGAAATAGGTCTAATTATTATTATAGAGCTGCCTGTTTCAAGATGATGAATTATTCTTAATAGTAATCGGTTATATAATTAATTACTCTGATACATCTTGGATCTATCCTTATATATTGAAATAATTTACTGCCTTATACTAATTAATGTAATCGATACAAAATATTATTTAATTTTTTCATGTTTATACCCCGTGGACAGCCGTAGAAGGAAACATAGCAAGACGCTACCACGAGTTCCCAATATTACACGCTATTTGATTCTCTTCTAATCCGATTAACTGCCCCATCCACGCCTCTCTGGTTCCGGGTC